GGGTCCGGGGCCGGGAGGGGGGCAGACGAGTTTCCCTGGTGTTGGCCAGAGTGGCCACCAGGGAAACCTGGGGAGGGCTAGCCTCCCACTAGTTCGAATTAAGGGTCTACACAGCCCTTAATTCCAACTAGTAAGTTCGAACTACGCTTAATCCTCGTGGAATGAGGCTTACCTAGTTCGAACTAAGCGCTCCGTTAGTTCGAATTAAATTCGAACTAACGGAGCGCTAGTGTAGCACCTATGAAAGTTAGTTCGAACTAACTTTGTAGTGTAGACATACCCATAGTCATTTTCAGCTTCCAGTAGTAAGTAGGAGTAGCGAATAGTCATCACATTTGATTAGAAAAGTGAATCTACACTTTTTGAATTTTGGGTACATTTTTTCATAGCAAACATGCTATCGAAGTTAAAGACTAGTGGTGTGCAACAGGCTGTCTTTCTGGGGGGTTGCAGCGCCAGGCTGGCCACCATTTTGTTTTCCTGGCTTGGTGCCTGACATATGCGCAGCAGGGGAGGGGAGAGTGATAGGGGAGCGGACCAGCGCTTGAAATTAAAGGAGGTGCAGCAGAATGTTCTGGCCGACATTTGTGGGGTTTTGTGTTTTATTTTTGTGGTGTTTACTTTTTTGATAACCAAAATTTTCCCGGCCCTGGGGGTTGCAAATTGAAAAAGGTTGAGCACCACTGTTATAGACTACAGTGTTGTCTTTGGATGCTCTGAAATAACTATTACTAAATGGAGAGCTGATGTGTTTTGTAATTGGAATGAATTATTGTCAATTGCCATTTAGATATTCTGTTTTATATAGGATGGATCCTCAGTATAATACGTCTATCTGCTCCTACCAGTCTTTGCCTTTCCCAAAACTGTTGTATTTGACGTAAGTATTTACCAGCAGTCTGCTTTATTAACAATATTGTCTTTGTGTTAGCTTCCCTCACATCCCTTCAAATTAACATCATGTAAAGCCCATGAGCAATAGTATTAATTTGTTTTATCCTCTTCTTCTATGCTCCAATTTTTCTTAATCCTCTTCTCCTTCACCTCCCCCCCGCAAAAAAACAACAGCCAAAAACCCCAACCCATGTTGTTTAGAGAAGTAGTTTCAAAATCTTAATGACTGTTCTTTTAGTTTCTAGGTTTGTTAAACAAAATATAAATATATACTAACTTTCAACATTTCCACTGAACATATTTTTATGGGTTCACAGTTTCATGTAAATCTTCAAACCTTGTCCGAAAGTCAGGTTTTTAAATATTTTAAATGTAATATCTATAAAAATAATCTTACCTGAATTACTTTTATGCAGGCTTGGTTAAAGACTAGCTGTTTTTTAAAGTTCAAATCTCATCTTCTCTAAATAAAAAATAATCAAAGATTAATTAAACATATTTTTAAATTGAGTACTCTGGCAAGATAATTTCCTTCTGAAATGAATACATTCAAATTTCTTAAAACAATGCTTAATACTTTTTCTTTGCTTACAGAGAGCATTGTGTTATGACATGGACAGAAAGAGGAATTTATGTCTTCATTCCTCAGAATGTTCAAGTTTTACTTTGGAGTGAAGTAAAAGGTGAACTTTAAGGAACTTAAGTTTTTGCTGCATTGTTCATTACAGTTTGACTTTCAAATCCTGTACTTACAGTTGAGCAAACCAATTTCCATTTCAACAAGGTGTTAACACTCACTAATAACTTTATAGTTAATCAGCAAATTGTATGGCAATTTTTAAAATTATTATAAAAAACTCTTTGAAAATGAATTTTTACAAATTATCTGTTTGGGTGCTTGTGAAATGAGTGGTTGGGGACAGTGTATTGAATCTCAGAAATAAAATGACCAAATGTGATGCAATGAAATATCACTAATATTGCAGTTTCTTTTCCTTACTACTTACTCCATTTTATCTCTCTCTATAAATATATTTAAAAAAAAAATGTCCTGTGGGATGACAGCGAGACGTCGTAAGTTACTCTGTCACCACATCCCCAATTCCAAGCCCAGAACATGTTGGTCTGTTCTCTTCCTCCCCCCTCCCCTTTCCTCCCCAAGAAACAGCCTTTTGCCACACTACCAGCTCTGCCAGCAGCCTTCCCTGCTGACCAACCTCTTCCCCAGCAGCCCCTCCAGGCCTGTACATATGGGGGGGGGGTGCAAGTGCACTCTCCCCCTGGCCCTCCAAGTAAGTGTGAGGCTGGGGTGGCACGTTGCCCTAGCTTCCCTCCCCCCATGTTCTGGTTGAGGGGTGAAAGCCGTGAGCCGGACAGCCCCAGGAGCCATGCAGGCTCTTCTTTCCTTCCTCCCCGGTGGTCTCCCCCTCTCCAGTGTTCTGCGCCCCCTCCCCTGCTCCCTTCACTCACAACCTAGCTTGGGGGGAGAGCTAGGGCTGGTGTGCCAGGACCTGGCCCAGCCCTGCCCAGCAGTGGCGTGGGTGAACTAGGGCCAGGGTGGCCTGGGCCCTCCCTGGAGGCCGGGAGGAAGCAAGAAAGAGCTGAGGAGGAGGGGCAAGAGAGAGCCAGGGCCACCCCGACTGGGGGGAGGGGGCAGTTTGGCAAGCATAGTGAGCAGCGGGTGCAGCCCCCTAGTTATCTTTCAAAGAATATCTGATGCGGCTCTGATCCTAATAGACTTTTTTTTTCAACGTTCTTCCAAATTGTGTTTAAAATTTTAGAAACTAAATCATTAACAAGCGACTAATTAATTTTAAATAATGAGGTCTGTCATTTTGCTAGATAGTCTATGCATTTTGTTTTTCTTTGAAAATATGTGTACATAAATTATTACATACTTCCGAGTAACTCAGCAAAGGTCAAAAGAGTCTTAGATTTTAATTGTATGCAATAATAATTGTACATTAACATAGTGCCAGTTACTGTTATCCCATATTCTACAGGAATGGAAGTTTGCCGTAGTCATTAGTAGGTAGATTGAAAAGTGCAAACTATTTCCAATGTGGTTGTGACCACGTCAGTCCCAGGATATTAGAAACACAAAATGGCTGAGGTAATGTATTTTTATTGAATCAACTTTTGTTGGTGAGAGAGACAAGCTGTTTAGCTTACTCAGAGCTCTTTTTCAGGTCTGGGGAACTTACTCAAGAGTGTCTCTGCTAAATCTGTTCTATGTTGTATTGGTCCAAAAAGACCAAATGTCTGTCCAATGAAAGACATTATCTCACCCATTTTCTCTCTCTAAATTGTTTCCAAGTTTACCCTGAAATGGAAAGGAACGCTGTTAGTACATTCACCATAAAGCCTTTCTGCTCATCTGTTTTTTATAGATATACAGGACATAGCAGTGTACAGAAATGAGTTATTCTGTTTACATACGAATGGAAAAGTCTCGCACTTCTCTCTTCTGCTAGTGGAGCGCTGTGTAGAACGTCTGCTAAGAAGAGGTTTCTGGAGTCTTGGTGCCAGAGTCTGCTGTCTCTTCCAGAACTCTATTATTTCTTGCAGAGTAAGTTAGGACCTCTTTTCACCTCTCTGCTACAGCTATTCAGTTGAGTCCTTTTGTCCTAAACCATATCCTATAAAACTCTGCACTTTGGATTTTGGAGCTTTGTCATGTTGAAATGCGATCATAGAACTAATCAGCAACAACTCCTTTATTAGAAAACTTAATAACTTTAACAACTGTGGGTAGTAAGCCAAACCCAGTCTGTTTAATATGAAGATTATAAGTATTAACAAACCTCTTGCTTTTTTATTGTTAGGCAAGAAAAATTTTGCCTCTAGACAGATTAGAACACTTGAAATCACAGCTGGACCTCTCAACCCAAAGTGATGTCATTAGCCAACTGGAAGAATTGATTTCAAAGCTGGAACCTTTAGATTCTGCATGCAGCAGCAGAAGGAGCAGTATTTCATCACATGTAGGTGTATATAAACTTGATTTTTTTCCCCTAGTTGAGTTCTTCCTCATTTTGTATAAGCTTATATATTGCCATCTGTGACTGTGGTGATACTCAGAATTTATCAAGACAAACTAAAAAAAATAGGGCAGACAATCCTCAAAACTGGTGGTTTATTATAATACTTAGATTCAACAACTTCTATAATGCTCTTCTGGTTCCCTTTAAACAATACAGCCTTTGGTTCCCACCCGGACAGAAAAATGTATATGGTGAGGATTATTTAAAACTTTATTCACCATATATCAAGTTTTGCCAGTCCCCAAGAATCAGACACATGACCCATCAGGTCAATGATGTTTTCGGCTCTTATCCAAATACATGCTTACAACTAATTCTTATTAACTAATCAAAGATTACTTAAAAATAAAAAGGTTATTGTGGTTAAAAATAATTATACAAGCAAATATGAATACAAGTTTTTAGGTCAGTTTCATATTAGAGCTGGTGAGGAATTTTTAAAATTCCTTCCAGAATCAGTTCACTAGGTTGTAGTGCAATAGGCAGTCAATGTATAGCATTTGTTCAAAATTTTTCATGAGAATTTGCATGGATAATTCGGAGTACACCCGGAGACCTCAGTCTTGCTACTTTGAACAGGGCTGGGCAAGAAAACAATGGCAGTTCACCCCTGGCAGGCCACCGCCACTATATTTACCTGCACCTCTGTAGGTACAGGAGATTGTAGCTCACGTTGGCCATGGATCACCGTTCCCAGCCAATAGGAGCTGCGGGAAGTGGCGTGGACTGGGACACTGCTTCCTGCAGCTTCCATAGGCTGTGGCCAGTGGGAGCTGCAATCACTTGGCCTTGAAGAGGCACAGGTAAATATAGCTGCAGCCGCCTGCCAGGAGCTAACGCTGGTGAACTGGATTCGACTTGTGGGCCAGTATTTGCCCATTCCTAAACTTGAACTCCCTTCTCAACGTTTAAGCTGATTTGAGATAGTAAGGATCAGGCCCTGCCCTTTATAGCTAAAGCTCAGCAGATTCTTGACAGCAAATGATCACAGCAGGGGCCTTTCAGGATTAAGAATAGGCAGCATATAATGTTTCTTTGAAAGTAAACTTCTATTTCCTATGAATACACAGATAAATTAATTGCATTGATTAGCATATCACAGTTATCCATTAAAATGTATCATTGGTACTGTAGCATATTACAAACTTCAAAAAGAAATAGACAATGATATTGTTACATCTCAAGTCTCATCTAAATGTTAATATCCCTTTTTGATCTCAGAATCAATAGAACATAGTAATGAAACATTATAGACAGGAGCCAAAGTTTAGCATCTACAAGTTAATTAGATCACATTGTTAAACTTCTAATAAGACATAAGTAAACAGACAATACAATTAGTATCTACTTTTACTTCTCTAACAATACAGGTTTATATTTCAAGAATTGTGGTCTGTTAAACATGGCTTTCTTAAGGAAAAGTCCACACAAGGAATGGTCCTATATACCATTTCATTTCTATTCTAGTATGTCCCTAAAGCAGGGCTGGGCAAGATGCGACCTAGGGGCTGGATCTGGCCCACTAACACTTTGATCCAGCCCACAGGCTACATCTGGCTGTTTTCTATTTATATCCTGCTGTCTGTGCCACTGAATTTCCAGGCGCTGGCTCAGGCAGCAGGATCCTATTTAACTAGCTCACAGTTGCAGCACTACCCCAGCAGGGGCTGGAGTCATGAGCCCTTTAAATAGCCTGCCAGGCAATGTAGTAGCAGGGCCAGAAGCCGTGAGCCCTTTGCTGTGTTTTTAATTGAAAGTCTCTGGCCACAGACACTGCAGGGAGGCTAGTCCCCAACCCCATCCCATCTGCCCCAAGCTCCACCCTTTTTGGGTGTGGAGCCAGCCCATGACCATGTACCAAAATTCATTGAGGCCCCCTTGTGAAAATTATTGCTCACACTTGCCCTAAAGGCTGACTTTTTTAATCATTGAGCTTGCTGGTTAGTTAACCCATGCTGGCTTAGTGTCATGCCATCCTTCACTCTGCAGATGAGTAAAAAGGGTCATCTTATATTTGCCTTTTTTCACTGATAGTTGTTGATATTTAGGGTCATGAGGTCAGGGAAGTAACATTGTTTATTGAACCAACTTCTGTAAGTAAAAGGTACAAGCGTTAGCTATATCGAGCTCTTATTCAAGTTTGGGGAAAGAAATCAGAGTGTCTTAGCTAAATCCAGTTTGGGATAGATTGTTGAACATGATGGGGTAACTCATGTAGAAGATGTAGAAAGTCCCTTGAAAAAATGTGGGCAATTGAGGGTCAGACTTTTATGTGTAATGAGTTTAAAGTGGGCAGTTAAGAGTAACGGGCAGGGATGAGGGGTGTTGCAAATTGTTGCAATGAGCCAAAAAAGCATATCTCTGCTGCTGCAATGATCAGTACCTCACACAGCACATCTTTTGAAATTTGTGCATCCTACACATGCTTATCACAAGATGTGGCAAACTTCATTCAGTACATTAAATGCCCCAAAACAACTTTGAGTGAATCCTGTCAATTATTACAGTCTTGAATACACTCTTACAGAAAAATAAGACAAAAACATATTGCCTATGGGCAAACTTTCCTCATAAAATGATTGCGCTATATCTATTCTTTGAATTTTTGTTCTCAGATGCCTCGAAAGATGGGCCTGGAAACTTAATAGCTCTGCTATACAACAAAAACACAAACTGGACAGGGACTCTGGTTTTATGGTCCATTACCAGAGTCTCGGCTTGACAAAGCCTTGCCTGGGATGATTTAGTTGGGATTGGTCCTGCTTTCGGCAGGGGACTGGACTTGATGACCTCCTGAGGTCTCTTCCAGTCCTATGATTCTATGAAAGATGGGCCTGGAAACTTAATAGCTCTGCTATCTAACAACAACACGAACTGGACAGGGACTCTGGTTTTATGGTGCATTACAGCAATCTGAAATGCCTCATCCCTCAACTGCCTACTACCCTTTATTGTCCACTTCAAATCCTTGATGCATAACAATCTAACCCTCTGCCTATTTCCTTTCAAGCGGCTTCTGACAACATGCATTACCTTAACAGTGTGTCCCATTGGTACTCATGTACTCTGATTTCCTTCCCCAGATCTAAGAAGAATAGGGTTACCAACTGTCCTGCAAACCCCTGCCCTGTCCCTTTGGCTCATCCTCTATCCTGTCCCTTCTGAGACCCCACCCCTATTCAGTTTCACCAGACTGTGGAAGAGGGTTGCGGTACAGGGATGGCGCAGGCTTTGGAAGGGAGTTTGATTCTGGGAGAGGATGAGGTGTTGGGCTCTGGGCTGGGGAAGGGATGTAAGATATGGAATGGAGTTGCAGTACAGGCTTTGGGCTGAGGAAAGGGATTGGGGTACAGGAGACAGTGAGGAGTGCAGACTGTTGGGTAAGGGGTGTAGATTTTGGGATGCGGGAGGGAGGCAGGAATTGGTGCTTACCTTGGACAGCTCTCGAAAGAGACCAGCACGCCATCTGGCAATGGCTCTTAGGAGTGGGGCTAAGTGGGTCTCCAGTGGGAGCTGCAGAGATGGTGCTCAGATGCTCTGCTCCCACCAGAGGCTTCAGAGATTATGCCAGCTGCTGCTGGGAGTTGCATGGAGCCAAGTCAGATGAGGGAACCCACTATAGCTCTGCTGGTATGACAGACACTTACCACACACAATCCCCCAGTATGGCTGAAGTAGTCTCCAGGAGATAGATAGCATGTGATTCCAAGGAGACTTCCAGTGAAAGTGGGAGGATTGGCAACCTTAGAATAAGACCTCTGCATAGCTCAGTCAAAAGCTTTTACTTTCCACCAACAGGAGTTGGTCCGGTAAAAGATATATGAATGGAGATTGCCTATGTCCTAGAACTGGAAGGGACCTTGAAAGGTCATCGAGTCCAGTCCCCTGCCTTCACAGCAGGACCCAGTACCATCCCTACCTCACTGATCTCGTCTTTTCTATATCCTGGGATCAACATAGCTACAACCAAACTAGGGATGTGAAAGTTGAACTGGTTAACCAGTAAGCCTCATGCTTAAAGGGTGAGGCTTACTGTTTAAGATTAATTGGCAGGGCTGGAGCAGCTTCCTGTCTGTCATGGACAGGGGGATGCTCCTGCCATTTCCACAGGACCCACGGCAGGCAAGGTCTGCTCTAGCGCATCCCCTGCCTGTGGCAGGAGGAGGGGAAGAGGTCCTTCCAACCCAGTGGTAGGCAGGGTCCAATCTGGGTTAGAGCATCCCTCCCCACTTGCCTTCTTAATCAGTTAACCAGTTAAACAATATTTTTAACTGGTTAGCCAATTAAATAGGATTTTACATCTCTAAACCACAATGCAAGATGCTTAGGGTGTCTGTTACTAGCCAGAGTATTTGGGGTAGGAACCTACAGATGTTAATTATGCAGTTTTCTAGATTTGTAAGGGCATGATTTGATAGATTTAATGTTCATCTTGGGCTACTTAATTCTGTGACCCACAATGATTCCTGCATTATAGTGTTTCTCTTCTAAAGCTCTATTTCAGAGTGCCATAGTATTCTTCAGAAAGAGTTGATGTGTGGAAATGTGATATTCTTTAAGCCTCTAGTACTGTCTTAGGGTATGTCTACACTTGCACCCTCTTTCGAGAGAGAGATGCAAATGCAGCTGAGCGAAATTGCAAATGAAGTGCAGATTTGAATTTCCTGTGCTTCATTTGCATAATCGCAGACTGCTCCTATTTCGAAAAATCCTTCTTCTGAAATAACCCTTATTCCTCATACAACGGGGTTTACCGGTTATTTTGGAAGAAGGGTTTTGTTCCGAAATAACTGTGTCTACACAGAGTTTATTTCAAAATAGGGTATTTCGAAATAGCGCCGGTTAGAGTTTATTTCAAAATAGGGTATTTCGAATAGCGCCGGTTCACGATTATTCAATGAAGCACGGGAAATTCAAATCCATGCTTCATTTGCAATTTTTCTCAGCTGCACATGAATCCCTCTCTCAAAAGAAGGTGCAAATGTAGACATATCATTACTCCTGTAGCTGATTTGGGTGGTGGCCCTAACTTTTATTAAGTTGTGAAAAGGAAAAATACGTTTCATACTTAGTACTTAACATAACTGTTTTCATCTTTGAGTGTTGGACAACTAATTATTCTCACTACATCCTGTGAGGTTACCTATGTGTAGAGATGCAGAAACGTGCGATGCAGAAATACGCAGCTTGAGCTGAGCCACAACTGGGGAGAGACACGTGTCTTGGAACAAGCTATGGAGAGTCTATAATTGCATTTACAATTGTTAGCTAGCCAGTTATTTAAAAATCCGTTAACTGCAATTATACCACAACCAAAACTCCCAGTGCAGAGAGGAAGTGACATACCCAAAATAGTGTGGCTTTGTGAAACATGACATTAAAACTGTAGAGTTATTAGTTCCGTATCTTGTACTCAGCCCAACAGACTTGCAGGTTTGTTTGTAGTTACTCTTCCTTATAAAAGTTGCATTTTAACTCTTACTTCAGTTTCTGTATAAACATACAATATGGCATACTCCTCTGCATACAAATATCAGCATACATGTGTTCGTTTCCACAATTTCAAATTAAAAGCCCTGTTGGTGCACTGAATTCTCAGTGTAGTTGAATGAGAGGATATTTTTGTGCCTTGTGTAACTTTATTATTTGCCCGACAGGAAAGTTTCAGTGTCTTAGACTCTGGAATTTATCGTGTTATTAGTCGAAGAGGCAGTCAGTCAGATGAGGACTCTTGTTCCCTAAACAGCCAAACGCTGTCAGAAGATGAGAGACTTAAAGAGTTTACTGCACACCAGGAAGAAGAGCAGGTGGAGCTTGGTAATGGCTTCCCATAAAAATATGCTTTTCAGTTGCATTCTTTGTATTCGGTGATATGATGTTTAAAACAACAACAAAACCCTTCCGAGTTGTAACTTCCACTTGTCTTCCACCATTTAGGTATCTCTGATTAAACCCTGTAAACTGCTGGGTGAATCACATATGCCACCTCTTGCTAGTGGTAAACCTAAAGTCAGCTCTTCTGTGGCCTCTTGTGGTAAAACCTTATAGTGAAATCTTTAGAGGTGAGATCTCAGCATGCAGTAAATGGCAAAACTCCCATTTACTTCAGTGGAGCCAGGATGTCACTCAAGTTTTCATTTTCTATGGGTAACACAGCTAGGTTATTGTTAGCATTAAAACAGACCATCCTCCATCAGTGTTAATCCAGCCTCTGCTGGCCAGACTGCTGCTTTTTTTTTTTTTTGGGGGGGGGGGGGGGCGTTTTCTAGCTCTCATTGAGCCAGGCCTTCTATTGATGCCAGGGAGCTGGTAGGCGTGGGTCAAGAACTTTTAACTTTCTTGTAGAGTTTCTTTCCTCGGTGTTTTTGGAGGTGATTCTCTCCTGTATGTTTGTACATTTTTGTATGGGGGATGCAACCTTTGGAAATAATAGCCCTGTTATGCCACCCAGCCACCTTTTTTCTTTCCTTTTCCTTTTCCTTTTCCTTTTCCCAACAAATACCCAATTCTGGACAAAAGTTAGAGGCTTTTCTGGTTTTTCAAGGGGTAATGTGATCTCTCCTCTCTGAAAAACATACCTTTATAAGTAGCTCCTTTTTGTGGTGTTAGAGAAAGTTCAAGCTGGGGAGGCAGTAGACTGGCCTGCAGAGAGAGATGCTCCTGGACTTGTGCCAGAAATATACTCCAGGACTATAAGGTTAGGGATTTTTTTAATACATGTTGTTTGTTCAGATCCACCATAAGAGCTGGATGAGGCAGACTTGAAGGCCCACTCCTATTAACTCTTAAACTCTTTCCACTTCACCCTCCCAATTTAGAGCTGCTATCTGAGACAGTATGGGGTCCCTTCTCATCAGGGAATCAACGGGTATGGCTTTTGTCGACAAAAGGTGTTATTCCTCGTAGAATGAGGTTACAGCTGTTGGCAAAACTGCTGAGTTCTGTCAACGTTATGTCGACAGAACTCAGCAGCAGTGTAGACAAAGGTATAGTTTTGTCGACAAAAATGTACTTTTATCCACAAAACCATGCAGTCTAGACACACCCAACCTGCTCTCTCCTGTAGAATGGGAGTGTCACTTTTGTTCTTCCTGATCTTGGCTTGATCCTGCTCTGATTAGTCAAGAGGGAAAGTGAAGCATGCAGATGAGACAATAGACTCATTCTTTCCTAAAATCTAGGTGGATTATACCCAAGTCTATGAAAACAAGTGAGAATTTCTTTAGTCTCTCTTTTCAAGAAATCTGTTTAGTGTTAGGAACTATAATTTCGTAATGCATCTTTTTTTTGCCAAGGGGTTGATAGACTTCCTCACAATGTGTCAAGCAAGAAAATGTGGAAAAAATGAAGGTTTAAGGACTACTATTTATCTGTCTTTAGGTAGTTTTGTACTGCTAATAAATGCATGCTTTGTGGCCATAAACTTTTCACTTGTCATTTTGTGAGATTTGTTCACCCCTCTTTATTTTTTTAGTTGTCATCTTAATGTATTTCAGAGAGTCAAATTCTCAAGTGAAGAGACTTGGTTTTACATGTTTGGAGTTAGAGCTTTTCCTAATGTTGCTCAGCTAATGAACACAAAGCAGCTAGTTATTTCAAACTATTATAGTTCTAGATGCTTCTGCATCTTCGTGCATATGAACTTCATTTGTTGCTTTAGACAGTTTCCTGAGAGAAACACTTTAATGAATGCTGCCTTCTAGTCTGCATTGTAATTGCTTTCTCTCTTCCCACTACATGGCAATTAGTCTTGAAATTGGTACTTTTCTACTTAGTGAACAAAAAGTTTGTTTCCACACAGGATCTCCATTTGTGAGTGTTAGGGTATGTCTACACTACCACCCTAGCTCGAACTAGGGTGGTTAATGTAGTCATTCGAAGTTGCAAATGAAGCCCAGGATTTAAATATCCTGGGCTTCATTTGAATCTTGCCGGGCGCCGCCATTTTTAAATCCCCGTTAGTGCGGACTCTGTGCCCGTGGCTACACGCGGCACGGAGTAGGTAGTTCGAATTAGGCTTTCTAATTCGAACTACCGTTACTCCTCGTGGAAGCCTAATTCGAACTACCTACTCCATGCCGCGTGTGGCCCCGGGCACGGAGTCCGCACTAACGGGGATTTAAAAATGGCGGCGCCCGGCAAGATGCAAATGAAGCCCGGGATATTTAAATCTCGGGCTTCATTTGCAACTTCGAATGACTACATTAACCACCCTAGTTCGAGCTAGGGTGGTAGTGTAGACATACCCTTAGGTACTATCTAGAATCCCTTTACCACAGATACAAGAGTAGTGCAGCTCCTTTTTAAGAGAGAGAAACTTTTAGTTTTGAGGTGCTAGTAAGGGCATTGTCGCCATTACTCAAAATAATCATTTTACTTTAAAAAAAAAATTCACTTTGTACATGTCTTTTTCTTGTATTAGGATATGATTTAAATGCAAACACCCCACTGTTCCTAAACTCTGAAATAAGAGATGTCACTAGGCTGCCTATAAGCTACTGTCCGTGCTTTTAGCTGTAACTAGGTTTTAGTTTGACCTCCTCAGCCTGCATCACAAAGGGACCAAATCACGTGGTAGTTATTGGTATACAAAATAGCAGTATAGGTGTGGGGTGATCTCTTTTGGTTACTCATTTTCTTCAGTCAATATGAAGAGCCACAGTGTTTGGGTAAAGTTACACATTTATACCTCCTTACATTTTGACACCTTAGTAATGGCTGTTCTGCACAGACATGTATATTTAAATGCAATCTAATGTCCATGGAATATCACTACATTTTGATATGACATGTTAACTTTTTTTTTGGGGGAGCCATCTTGGTTACCTGGTGAAAATAGCATGGAGATGTAACCTCAGGCTAGGCCAACAATCTATGTACAGAAGATAGTCATCCACTCAGTGTTCTCTTACTTGACATTGATTTGTTAGTTGCGTCTTAATCTGTTGGATCTTTTATTTGATAAATAGAACAAATACATACTAGGTCTAAAGTAAGAAATGCTGAGATTGCCCTTGATCCCAACAACTGTGTGTATATTCTAGTCCCTATCCTATGCTGTCCCCATTCTCATAAAAAAAATCCATTACATAACTTGCAAGTAAAAAAGAAAACAAAATTTAGGCCACAGAAGAGTAAAATTTCCCAATTAAAGGAAAGCATGGGTCATAATCATGATTGAATTATATGTTTCATTGTCAACTCATTTTTCATAATTTTATTATTTCAATTCCATTTGTTAGACAACGTATCTCATGCTTCTGTGGTGGTTGAGACTGATCGGAATGAGACTTTTCTCCCATTCAGTATCCCATTGTCATTTCGTTCACCTTCTCCTCTGGTCTCCCTCCAGGCTGTCAAGGAAAGGTAAAAATCCTAGGATATTTGTTCATCCATTACATTCCTTTTTTTTTCCTGAATACCATTGTTATGCATAGTTTGCTTAAAGATAAAATGTTACATAAAATATACAAGATTAACTTTCCTATCAAATCTGATTTTAATTCTTACCCCATTGAAGACAATGGGAGTCTTGTCAGTGACTTCAGTTAAGCAAGGATTTAACTCTTGAGTTTTAAATGGAGGTTAAGAATACATGCTATAATCTAGTGGCTAATGTTTACTTTCAATGTATTGACTGTGGTTATGGGGTTTAGCATTTTGGTACTTAGATTATTTAATATTTTAAGGAACTGCTGGGTATTTCAATGATGGTATGTATTACCAAAATATGTGCCTCCATTTTGCACTTTCCAAATACCAAGCTCTATCCTTTTGGAAGAAGTTGGTTACCAGGTACCTTAAGTTTTACACAGGCAGAAAATCAAATCCGTAAGTATTCATGTGCTACATTCTGGTTACACCAGTTTAAAGGTTTGCATCAACTATTGTATTTTTTTATTTTGCAGTCTATAACAATTTCCCTTTGACACTATCTTAACATCAGTATTCTACTGGGTTTAAACTAGGGATGTAAGCGACTAGTTGTCTATATGATAAGCAAAAGCTTATTGGATAGTCAACACACTAATCGACTAGTTGCTCTCCCTTCCTTCCCCCCCCCTTGCTTCCTCTATCAGAAAGAGACAGCAAGATGGGGGGAAGAAGTGGGGATGCTAGTTCTTGCCGACTAATTGACTAGTCAATGGAAATCCCATCAACTTTCAATTAGTTAGTAAAAATTTAACATCCTTAGTTTAAACTCATTCCCTCTTCTTTTTGCACGGAAGTTCTTTTTGAGTTATACTGTGTCACCACTGGGAGGGGCTCTTTGAGTGCTCAATGTTAACTGTTTAATCAGAGAATTTAGGCGTTCTACTTTCAGTGATTGCATGTGTCCATTCCACTGTAGTGGTGTGTGTGCCTCACACACTTGTCAGAGATCCTTTTCCTATCGGTATCGCAAGCACTCGCTACCATCACATGCCACTGCTTGCAAAAGTAACAGGACAAATCTGCATCCGACCTCCTTACCTCCCTTCCTCCCCCACCCCCGGTGATGATGGTTGGAGCATTTCCTGTCTTATTTCCCTCACTCTTTGTATATAGTCTGTTTAGTTAGTTATACTGTATGACTAGGGTTTGGTTACAGTTTCTAGATTCTTTATGAATCACATTTTGATTTTCGGTAGTAGTCCTCTCTCTATGAAGAAGTGGCATTTTCGATTGTGTTAACCTCAGCCAGGAGAGTGGTTGAATTCAGAGCCTTCTTATTCAGTTTTCCATAAGGATTGTCCAAAATTCTTGACAAAGGTGGTTTCAAGTTTCAACATTAAGTAGGCAATTTATTTGCCAACTTTCCCCCCAAAGCCTACATATGTACAGAGGTGTCATTGGTTGGATGTGAGGAGAGCATTAGCCTTCTAATTGGGCTGCACCATACCCGTCCGCTCCAAACACAATTATTTGTCATGATATGCAGACAGGATGAAAGATCAGCCGGTTTCCACTTAAGAAATCCAGGATAAAATCCTCTCTTGTGCTTGTTTGTGCTGCCAGCTGTCATTCTATTTCTTACCTACAGTTTTGGCTCATTCAATGATAGCATTTGCACAGCAGCCCACTCAGGCATCCATTCTCCATTGGCTGCTCATTATGTAATTTTCCAAAAGTCGAAGAAAGATGCCAGTTTTGGATGGGTTGTTCCGTCATAACTATTCAGGTAGTCTCTGAGCTCATCTTTGCTTTTGACTTACTTACGGTGGAATGGACATGTGCTGTTGTTGGAAGAAGAAAAAATGGATACCTGTCTGGAATTGTTCTGTGAACTGTTGCATGTGTACACTCCGCACGCTCCTTCCTATCTGTATCCGAGCCTATTTGGGAAGAAGGAACTGAGCAGGTACAGGGGTGGCTCCTTCCCCTCATACCTACATGTAATACTGCATGATGTTAGAGGGTGCTTGAGTTGCTTCAAAGGGTACTGCTGAGGAAAAAAATTTCCAACGTTTGCATGAGCTGTGCATGCACCTGCACTGGAATAGACATGTGCAAAACACTCTGAAGTACAGTAGTATGGGAAGGTAGGTAACAGGTATTTTTCTGGCACTGCTAACACTGTTCTGAGCTGAAGTACAAGGAATTTGAGGGTTTTTTTGTTTTTTTTAATTTCCAGTTTTATAAAGAACTCTTGCATATTATGGACTAGTATGTTAGAGTTTTATAATGTAGGTAAACCTTCTTCCTTTAGAATGAAACCTTTTAAGGGTTTAGAGATGGATAAATGAAACAGAACCTTTTAGAATGCCCTTTAATTTCTTAACTGTATGTTCCCTGAAAAATCTTCATCATTGAGAATGTAAGTATAGCACAAATTAAAAGATAATTAACAAAATTCTTGTGCATATGCTACTGTAGAGGTTTTAACGTGGAAGAATTAGCTGCTCTGCATTGCAAATAAAAATCTTAGCATTTGCCTAATTGTAAAATCCTCTCTACCAAGCAGTACAAAACCAAATGTCCAGTGTTTTAATTTGTGGTCTCTATTGGCCCTGAAAGTCTTGTTAGTAGTAAACTTGACTAAAGCATACAAGTTCTGAGATGTTTCCTACTGAGTGCAACATGTATTTTTTTCATGGTAGGTTCTGACTGATAGTTGCTGGTTCCCAGTGCCTCCAACCTCTCTTCCTGCCTCCTTTAGATAATAAAGTTTTTTGAAGTAAGAGGCTGACTAGAAAGAATGAGATTTATTGTTTTTGTTATGAACTCTCCCCCTACTGCTGTCTTAGTTGTTTGAATTCTCAACTTAGTGTTTCCAGCTTTGTACGCAAAACTACTGAAAAGATTGGCACCCTTCATATGAATCCTGACGTCAGAGTGAAACAGGAAATGAAAGAGGAGGAATCTCATGAAGTGACTGCTAGTACAGCAGCATGCTCCCAGGATGAAGATGAAAATGAGTAAGTTCAAGCTCACAGTTTATTAGTTGAATGCGCCAGCTGCCAAAGGACAAGTATCTCCTGTTTTCCACAACAAGCCCATTCATTTCAATAGAATAGAAAATAACATGATTCTGCTGTGCATGTTTTTTTTAGCTGGCTATGTAGAGAGCCTATATGTTATCATCTGGCCTATTCTATTCCCTGTCTCCGTTTTCTCCCTCAGAGTCAGTTCAGGTGTCAAACTCTTCTAAAAATGGATGTTAATAGTTCAACATGTTAACAGCATTTCTTTCTGGTTCTGGAATGGTTGAGGAAGAGAAACTAATTGAGTTTCCTCTTTGCCCTTGTGGGATTACCTAAGCAGGCTTGTTGGTACATGTGAATTTTAAAGCCCATGTCCTATTTCTAATGAAAAGAAGAACAAGCAGTTTTATCATCCTCAAAACAGGGTTGTTTTAGACAAGAAAACAAAACTGTACTGTCTTAGTCATATTAATAAAGAATAAGAGGTAAATTATCAGGAATTAAATCAGCAAATCATTTAAATATTTTAAGCTATGAATTTGTAATAGTTTCTTACAAATGGTATCTGGGAACCATCATAGATAATGTCTGACAAAATGGAAAAGGATAGGCCACTGAAGTTTTTTCTTCTGCTGTCATGTCCAGCTGCTCCATAATTACTGTAGTCACATTTTTTCTCTCATGAAAAATAACCCCTGCTTTTCTCATAATAGAATTAATGCTCTTTCTCTGTTTTAAAAAGATCCACATTTAGATTTTTAGATGACACAATTTTGTATTCCTATTTCTTTCCAGAGTAGAAGTAGTACAGAGCCAGCCTCAAGAAGAGGACCGACTAAGTGATCTCAAGGTAGCGACAATAGAAGCTATGTAAGTAGAGAATATAGAGCTATGTTTTACCCTGGCAGAAAGCTTTTATTGTACATATCTGCAGTAAATGATGCTGTGCAAATATATCCAGATACAGTGTAATACTGTCTGAAAATCCTTATGTGAATAGTGGCTTTTTTTAATAAAAAATATAACTTGTGAGTTTTGCTAAGAATAAGCGGACTTAGAGGTAGACTCAGGCAGTTGCCTACCAAGCTACACAAATCATTTGGAGGTGAGAGCCACAAAAGCATGCTTGTAGAAATTATATAGTGACTTTCCTACTGTCCTAACTATTCAGAAAAATAGCATCCGTATGACCAGTGTCTAGAAATATACTACCAGTTTTGTTGATTACTTGATATGTATAATAAATTAGCACTGGCATCTCTTGACTACTGACTAGCAAGTTCAGCACATTTCTACTTCACTTTACAGAAACAAACTGCAAGATCCACTGGTTTTGTTAGAACCACGGTGCCTGAGAGAAGTTTTGCAGGAGTGGTTTTTGTGTCTGGAAGAAACATTTGGTTTCAAAGAGCCTTCCTTTTCAGATGACTGCTTATCCATTAAGAAAGATAAGAATGTGCTTGCTGAAGAGCAGAGTGAGATTTTAGAAGAAAATACTGAACCAGATCAGCACAGTGAAGATCATGTAGGCAAAGGACACACTGGTGTCTTGCAAGAAAATACTGGACAGGATCAAACTAACAAAGCTCATTTTGGCAGAGAAGTACATGAAAATGACGCTGACTCGAAGGGAGCCTCAGGCCATGTTTTTCAAGTGTATCCTCCATGTCTCATAGCACAGGATATCCAAAAGGATCTAGTAGAGTTGACAACTTTATGTTTTGAATTAAATGTGTTTGCTTGCAAGGAAGGGAATGCAAAAGAAAGTTCCGAACAAGATTTGCAGCTAACAATCTCATGGGTCCTGGCTTGTCAGTTTATAAAGGACTATTTCTTTCTTTTGGATTTAAAAAGACTGAAGCGATGTATAACAATCAATTACGCGAACAGTCCCGGTGTTTGGGAAACTTACATTGAAGGATTGAAAGGTAATGACTCTGGTGGCTTTTTGTTTTCACTTTTAAACCAATTGAATTTTTAGGTTTTTATCTTAAATACAGATTTTGTTTAAAATCCAGCATTTTTCTGAATCACCTCTAGTTATTTTATAAACAAAATTAAGTTAAGAACCATTGACTTCTAATGGAGAAATGCTTCTTTTTTTAAGTGTTTAACACTGATGTCATTACTGAACAAGTGAATAGTGCAGCTTGAGTTAGCTGAACTCTGTAATGATTTGAAACATCTGCTGAAACAGAATATGGAACTTTCAAAGAGTATTTGAAAAAAATTGTTGCTATGGAAATCAAGTCATTTCAATTATTTAACATAAGGCTACAATTAGGAAGAGAGTCACATTCTCATTGGCAAAGTGGGTGCAAGTATACCCAGATATTTCAGGTTGTTTCCAAAGTTTGGACAGCAACATATTCATGAAGCTCAGTGCTGGACTGGAAAAACATTCCTTGCATGCAGTTGATTACCTCAGACATTCTTTTCTTCTTCAGAAGTCCCTTCTGTCCTTTCTTATGCCTTGCAGTCCCAATGAATGGGGCTTTTGTATGTCATTGAGAACAGAATTTGGTCCATGACATGCAACTTCTAAAATTGAAGCAAAACCTTTATAGTCAGGGCTTCAAGTTGATAGAATCCTGATTCAGCATAGAAGTGAAGCATATGCCTAGGGGTGTGTCTAGACTACATGGCTCTGTCAATGGAACCATGTAGTCTAGACACACCCTAAGTGTTTTGCTGCACGGAGGGCTATGTCTGGGCATGCAGAAATCTGTTCCATGTTGGCTTGAGCGTAGTTTAGACTAGAAAAGTATTAATTGCATCTCTGGGTTGATGTGAGTGTGACTTCTTATATGCATACTGTTAAGGATGTGAGGCTTTGTAAGGTAGAGCTTATGCGCCCAGTTTGGTTCCTATAATTTTAGCGACAGAATTCTCAGTGACTTCAGTAATGTCCCTAATTGGTAACTTAAGCTTTAAGTGGAACTTGTATTTCATGAATTTAAGTCAGTTGGTTTTGAAAATAAATTCAGGGCGGTCTTTTTTGTACACATGAAGCCATAAGCTCTGAAATTCCATACAGATTATGTAAATTTATATAAAAGAAAGTAAGTTGCCTTATATTTTAAAGGAAAAGAAACATGGAAAACTATCTTGAAGTTTTTTTTATAAAATAATTCCTTAAAAACAATTTAATAATGTTAATTTTCTTGTAACATCATTGGTAGTAATTCTGTCGAAGCCAAACACCTCACAGTTTTAAGTGTGACTTACTCACCTGCTACCATTGAAGACTAGAGATAAAGTTCCATGATGGGGACTGTGGAAGAATAAAATAAATGTTTCTGTCCTTAATTATTTTCTAATATAGCTTTGATTTAAAAAAAAACCTTAAAATGTTTTGCAATGATTTGTGTTTCAGAATTGACCCATGCTAGTCCAGTGATTTTGGCAATGAAAAATGGAGATATGTTGAAAATACTAAAACTGTTAAATGACTTGGGGCCATGGGATAGTCCTCTGTTATTGGCACATGCCCAAAGGTCTGTAGTGTGCGATTTTCTTTTCTTCATGTTGGTTAATATGGTAAATTCATGCTGTCTGTTTGCTTTGTCTTATCTTGCTCTGGTTTGGTATTCCCACTAACCACTTTAATGTTGTGAGACTTTGTGGTGATAATTTTAGTATTAGCAGTGTTCAAGCAGAGGAACTTGAAACATGCAGGTAGAAGAATTAAAATTCTGAAATATAGAGTTGTTTTCTTATCAGTGTGGCAGTCTTACTGTGGTTTGGCATTAAAGATAATGTGTTTTGTTTGTACAGGCTCTATGAAAAGTTTGGGGAAACAGCTGTAAGGCCCTTGATCAAGTTCTATCCATCAATCTTGCCCTCGGACATCATGCAGCTTTGTAGACATCACCCTGCCCACTTTTTAGCATATTTAGACAGTCTCATTAAATCAAAGCCTGAAGATGAAAGGTAAAGGGGCTTGCATGTATGCTGCGTTCCTTTTTTTTCTTGTTGTGAAATACTTATATAATACAAACACTAGCTGTCATCCTGTGTGGGTTTTTAAATTTAAACACTGCTTTGTCTGCATATTAAAAATAGAAAGGAACTTAACATGAAATACATTTTTGTTTTGCCAGTTAATTTCTGTGCATTCAGTCTTTTCCCATGTTGCTTCATTATAAAGCAGCTTCATTTCTGTACTTTATCAAATTAGCGTTGGGCAACACTTCAGTATGTAAAACTCAAATATGGATGCATTCAGTAATATTTCTGAAGATTAAGGGGAATTTTTAAATGTTTATCATATTGCCATATTTGGTCAATTTAAAAACTATGGTTTTTCAAACTTTTTTAGGTCATCCCTCCTTAGATCTCTTCTTCAACCTGAAGCATTACGACTGGATTGGCTGTGTTTGGCTGTTTCCCATGATGCTCCACAAAGAACAAATACAGTGGATTCTGAAGGAAACCCTAGGTAAGGTGGTAAATCATGTATATTGAATTGCACCCAGCAAACATGCAGTTGTCCAGATTTGCATTGTGTTCCATGGGGGAGCTGGCTACCTTCAGTTAAACAACAGCTGTAAGTGATGCATAGTTGTGCGTTGGCAATTCTGCAGTAGGTTCAGTTTTTCCCTAGAGTATATTACCTCCCATACCTCAAGATGTTCAACAGCAGCAACCAAAGGATTAAACAACTTTTCTAATATCTTAATCCAGTTAGGAATAAGATCTGTAATGATTATCAATACATATCTCTCTTAAGAAGCTGCCACTTTGTAAGAATCATTTTCAGAGTATTTCTGGAGAACACATTTTTTAAGGTGTGTGAAATTTTCCTACTGTTTCAGCTGGAATATACACATGGGCATAGATTCTGAACATTGATGCTGGTATCCCAAAAGGCTACAGTAACTTTTTTGTCTCTCCCTCTCTAATTGCATCTGTGCCTAAAAGAAAATCTCAGTTGAAGTGAGTCTATCAAGAAAGTAGTTGGCCATGCTGTTTTTAATTAATATTGTCAACATTTCATGTGAAAGATGACATAATTCTGTTCACCTATTTGGCTTCATAATAAAAATAGTTCTTATAAACTCAGGAGAATGTTAACATTTAACTTGTGAATAAATCTGTCTTCCCAGACCACGTTCCCATTTCTTTACCTGGGGCTATAGCCAACTGATTTTGCTTCTAATTAAACTCCCAGCTGATTTTGTAACAAAAGAGAGGATGGCTGATATCTGCAAATCTTATGGGTAAGTTGAAAACTTGGTAGTTTACTGAAAAATTCTTCTTCTTGAAATGTAGTTTATTCGGCATCTTGGCCCACTGAATACTGTATACAAATGAAAGCCAATAGGTTTCCTGCCAGTCTGTCAGTTAACTCTATTTATATGAAGTATTTTGTGGATGAGTATATATTTTAAAGTGTCATCATGTATAGATTATAAATAGCCAGTGTGAAGCATACCTCTGTGGTATTACCTTTCTTTGTAACTAAGAAACAATAGTCATAGCTTAACACGAACTACACCATTACATGTTAAGCCGGGGCAGAGAAAATATTGCCCATGGGCCATATCTGACTTGCAAAGATCCTCTGGGCCGCCAGTGTCCACAGCCAGACAGACCTTCAGGTAGCGCCTTTCCTGCCACATCTCCCACACTGCTGTAAACAGCAGGCTGCTGAAGCCAGCTTATGTGATTCTGTGCGCTGCCCTTGTTCCCATTGTAATCCATGCAGCTCCAGTTGGATGAAAGCTGACCAGTAGGAGCTGTCTGGGCCATGCTTACAAGTGCAGGCAGCTCAGGGAGCCCCTCTTCCCCCAGTTGCACACATCTCGCCAAGACATGCACACTAGCACCAGCAGCTAGCTGCTTTGAGTGATGTATGGGGGCTCAACAGGCAGGCAGCCTTTCTAAGGTTCCCGCTGGGTTGCTATCTGGGAGCTGTCTAGGGGAAGCACCTCCTGGCCAGAGCCTACCCTTGACCACATCCCAACTCCCTGCCCTAGATCACACCCTAACCCTCTGCATCTCTTGCCAAAGGTCACAGCTAGGGATATTAAATATTGGTTAATTAAATAATTGTGTAACCTCATGAATTCTTATCGGTTACTCGACTATTGTATAGTCCCCGGGGGCGGGACTGGCAGCCAGTGCACTCCAGCCCCACTCCCAAGGAGCCCCGTGCTACTCCGCAGCCTCTGTATCCGCAGTGTGGGGTGCCAGTTAGGAGCTGGTTGGCAAGGGGAGACAGTTTAAAAACCAGCTCCCCTTGTGGACTGTCACCCCCGCTGCTGCCTCTGATACAGGGGTGACAGCAGCCTCTGTCTGAAGTGGGGGCCTGAGCTCCTGAACCGGGGCATGAGCTGGAACTGAGCTGGGCTGCCTACCCGCCTATCTTCTAATAACATTTTAAATGCAGAGCCGCGGTGCGAGTAGGTCCTGGACTGGCGCAAGCCAGGACTGAGACAGGCTACTGGTCAACCTGCTAAAAAAAATTATGGTGTTGTGGTGGTGAGGGCGGGAGATGCGTGTAGTCTATAGCATTAACCTATACGCTTTTGCTTATTGGTTAATCAGTTAATCAACTACACTGTTACATCTCTAGTTACAACCTCCTCTTGCCTCATGTCACAGCACAAGCCCCTGCACTAGACCCCGAACCCTCTCCTGCACCCCATTCCCCTACTCTGAGCTCTCTTCTGCACCAAATCTTTCCCAGACTCACACTAATATAATATATTTATTAATCTGTTAATATAATAGAAAAGTGTGGTCCTTGACCACTTACTAAAGTTTTGGATTGACCCCCTATCAAATATTATTGTCCACCCCTGTGTTACGCCCTGTTTATTACTCAATAAATGTTATTGACCTGAAACATGAGCAAAGAAATAACCCCAATGCAGGTCACTAATGCCTTTCTCTTATGTAACCTGCTTTAGTAGAGAGAAATTTATCTATTGGACTTCATAGACCTCTTGCATGCATAAAGATGTTCCCTCTGTTCCTAACTACTCCCACATATTTCCCTAATGACTTCCATTCTTTTCTCTATGCAGGTCTTACCTCCATATGATGGTGGTTTTCCACTTGACCCTTTCTCACTATCTTTTACAAAAACTCACTGTAACGAGACCACATAGCCGCGGGCCGGACTTTGGACATGCATGACTGATGACTTTTTGAGGGCATTGTTTGACCAAAGGCCTCAGTAATCTGAATGTTCTGAGGACTTATGGCATGGCCTGTGTTTTGCCACTTTGAGATGGCCAGGGTGTTCTTAGTATTTAGCGTTATTTGCTCTTACTGAAGAGTTGGTAAATCAGTATTTCATTATCAGTGGCTTTAGTTTAGAATAAACATTTATTTGATTCTGGAAAATTTTAATCTCTTCTTTTAGCTTCTGGCCTGGATACCTCTCTGTGTGTTTGGAACTGGATAGAAGAATAGAAGCCTTTACTAATATTGTTCATTTGGATGATATGAATCTGTTGGATGGAGAACATGGTTAGTGAATCTTCACATGTGAGCTCACCAGTATAAGACCTTGTCTATATTGACTATGTAGTGATTGTTGATTAACTATAGAAAAACATTTGTCCAGAGTTGAATGAAGTCTTTTGGGTATAGCAAGATTACTTGGCATCTTGTGTAACTTCACATAGTTATATTTATGCTGTACAATATACTGAGTATAAATCAGAAACTCTCCTCACAGAAGTTTAATACTTGTCTTCCAACAAAAGTGTTTTTTGTTGGTTTTTTAAATCCTAGCGTTCTGTCAAGTGGTTCAAATCTTTTAACATTTTAATTAAATTTTTTGGCTCCAGCTTGCCCTCTGAATGTTTGTTGCCCACCACCTTGGAGAATCAGCTAATTCACTAGCAGCACACTCTAGTGAGTTTTCTAGTGAATAGTGAGCAACTTTCTATATCGGGTAGCAGAATTCCAGGGAAAATCTATAATATCCTTAATAGACACACAGAGGAATTTGACTCTTAGTTTAATCCAGAACCTTAGCGATGGCTATGAAAAAAGTCCCAACAACTATACACTGGAAAATATTGTGTCACTGTCAAAAGATCAAATGCGTTTTAAACCACTGAACTAAGAGATTAATGTACAATACTAATTCTAGAAAACTAGCCTCTTTTAAATGCTACAAGCTTTCCCCTCACAGATAGCTATAGCCAGTAATTTAATTTTGCATTTAGGTTTGATTCCAGAGACCTTGGAAGAATGGAAGTTCCTTCTCCACCTTGCTCACAGTCACAGCACAGATTTCCACTATCATGGTGCACAGAATGGCAGTGCTATCACCAATGGTAGCGCTAACTGGTCAAATTGCATTACTGTTGAAAACATAGCTCTTCTGTTGGCTAAGGTTATAGGCCCAGATCATGCCTTGCCAATACTGCAGGAGTGTGGTTTGACAGCTGAATTGTCCGAGAGATTTACCAAGATCTGTGAAATACTGAGAATTGCTGAAAAAAGGCAAAGGTAAGACATGTAGGTGTGCGTGTAGAGAACATGTATCAATACTTTACTTCGTGTCATTTTAAGTCAGAGTTTGGTTTTTCATTATATTAAAAAAAAATAGTCAAATCATTTCAGACTTAACCACCAAGAGTTTATACAGTGTTACAGCATGGTAAAAGCTACCTAAAAATTCTTCTGTGCCCAATGTAAAAGGGATATATTTGAGGCATGTAGCTTTAAAAATGTATTAACAGAAAATACACTCAAAATTAATATTTCCTTCAAAATGAAGATCAAAAACGAAATTCACATGTCTACAGCTGAAGAGTTCAGCAGCATCTTACCTGTATGGTGCTCTGATAACTGCTTCATAAGCACTAGAATAGTGTAATGAGACATTACAGTAGGTGGAATTCAGGCATTTACTTGCACTGCAGATGATGTCAACATAGTTCACCCACAGATATGCTGTTTAATTCATTTAAAAAGCTCGTACGTGGAAAAATATCAGACTCTTTGGAATTAAGTTCTAGAAGATGTCACTTGAGAAGGTCCTTTTGAAATCTCTTGTGATGTCAATATTCAGGGGTAATTAAAAGCAAGAGCATAGGCCTAGAATCTAGCAAGCCCTAAATACTAGCTTTTAATGAAACAAGCCCTGTTATCTCTTTTCTACTTTTTATGGTTTGTCACTCATGCTCTTCATTCAGGTTAGTGAAAATCTTCAAAGGTGTGGGGGTGGGGGAGAGGGGGAGTGGAATTATAGGGCCTTCTCTGAATCCGAATCCTACTTCACTGCAACAGCCAGTTTAAAATGTAAATGTTAGTAACCTGCAGCAATTTAAGTAACTAGTAGGTTTGATTTTTCCTCTCTTCTCCCCCCCCGCTTTTTCGTTTGTAGAGCCCTGATACAGTCCATGCTGGAAAGGTGTGACCGTTTTCTCTGGTCTCAGCAGGCATAGGAAATATCCAGGAGCCATTGAAATGAAGTTGTGTATTGTGCATATTCTACATGTAAAGTGCCTCTTAAGCTTTATAAAGAAACCTTTTAAAGAAACAAACTCTTGGCGACAAAATAATGTATTCAGACATACAGCATGAAAATAGCACCTAAATAGGGTTTTCTTCCACAGTTCGTCTTAAATCCTTTAAAACAGGTTTTAGAAATTGTTAGATTGATTTCAGCATAAACATTGGAGTATTTCAAGACCACAAATGTCTGACAAACTTGGGGGGGAAGAGGGATTACAATACAAATTAAAAGGGCTGAATGAATTTGCCAGTAACTCTGTATGAATTAAAACAGTTAAAGGTACAGTCCTTTGAACATTAAATTATTCAGATGAATAATTTGATTAATTAAAAATCATTTAAGATATTGGGTTTTGTCTTTAGGAACTTGTGTAGGTTGGTCAAGATGTAATCTTTATGATGATTAATTCTGTGTATATTGCAAGCATAGCAGACCCCTTTGCCAAACATTCACATTATCCCTCCTGACATCTGCTTTTGCAAATAGCTGCAGAGAACACATGCAAGAATGCGGATTTTCCCTTAATTGTACAGACTATCTACTCTTTTGATCTATTTCTTTAAGTAGCAACATTTTTATCTATAAGATCTATGTAAAATAATGTTATGTTGTATTAATTATATACTGAAATTTGCATTATCTCTTCAAAATGCTAATTTAAGACTACTGAAAAAATGTGTCAACACAGCATTCCTAAATTGCACAAATCTGTCATGTGGTCATCTTCAGATGATTGGTAAGATCATTTGTTTAGATCCATGTAGAAGACAATATTTTGTTACTGCTTTTTGGTAGAAATGATGTAACTGCATAACTTTTTATCTAAAACTGCCTTTTAAAAAGCTGATTAATACTAATGTATCTTTAAAGGGAGACTGTCAAGTTAAAAATCATGGTTTTTAAGAAAGCCTTTACCTTTCAGGATTAACCTTAGACTATTAAAACTGAAGATTTATAACACCCAATTTTACTTAATCATTTGCAAAAACTTATTTTACACCTATTCCTTGTACTCTGAACTTCCTAGTGCTTGAATAGTAAAAATACAGTGAGATTTACTTTTGGTTTTAGCCCACTTCAATTTTGGGGCCTCAGACACTAGAGTAATGCTGTAATGTCTCAGTAATGGTCCCAAAGAACTAACTCCCTTGATAATTTTGTCTTTTTCCCTATGCCAATATTTTGTGAGTAAATTTGACAGTATCCCTTTAAAATAAAAGCCTTCAAATATTTTATGTATATAGTTTTTTCCTCCATTTTTGCTGCATTCCAAACTAATGATTTTTATTTAAAAATTAATGATTTTTAATCAACGTAACTTTCATCTGACACATTTGGTATGATATATAAAATGGCAGATGGATGGGTAACTTCACTGGCTCAATCTTTAGAAAGTCATTTCCTTTTGGTGGAGGATTTCATAGCTCTTCTGGATTGGGAATAAAGTCTACAAAAATATGTGCAGTGGAAGCTATTTCGTAACTTCAGGTTCTTATCTGCAAAAAGCCAACAAAATGTCCTGTTCAGCTTCAGTTTTACTTGGGGTTTAGATTGTTAACTGAAGTTTGGAAACAAACGCACATGTGCCTGTCTACACGCTCAGGCACACTATACTCTTATTTACCATAGGAGCAACGAACTGGAAGTGAAGTACTCCTTAATTGTCATAACTTTAGTACTCATACATCATAAAGCTTAGAACAAATCACTCTTTGTGTCTGTTTCCCAACCTATGAAATGAATACTACTACCTCATATGGGTTTTAGGATTAATTAAGCTCAGTTTTATGCAGCACTTCAAAGAAGTAAAGACTTTTATAAGCACAGGAATCATCTGTCTCAGGAAAATTCATAACTAGTGCTTTCTGACACAAGTCTAGTGAAATCTCTTTTGGTTGGAGGACAAATGACACGGAAAACAGCTGAAAGCTTTGTATACACGATAACCTTTATTTTAAAACCTTGTTGTTCTTGTACGCACAGTTAACAATGCTGACTTTTGCAATCAAGTTTTTTCCAAAGAGCTTGTATTTCATTTTGCCTAACACTGTCCACATTAACCAGTTTTACAACAGTTTTTTTAAGTTTATTGCACCTAAATTGGACTTTGTATTCATGGTTTCAACTAATTTTAAGAGATTTCAATAAAAAAAAAAGTGTTTCTGACTTGCTCTTGATTTCCCTATTCTATATATATCCAATATGAAGCTGTGAGAGACACATTGTGACTTCATCCTAGGAAATTCAGCAGTTGCACATTGCAAGCACGAGAAAGGAAAGTCTGTCTCCCAGATACATTATGCCCCATTTAACACTTGTTTAACCTTTTTGGTTAATGCTTTGTGAAATCCTGTCACTTGGCATAATAGCAAGTAAGATTGTCTGAATATGGGGGGGTGGCAAGTCACAACAAGAATTAACGTATGATGGTCAAACACCAAGAGATCAAGTTGCAACAATACCTAAATTAAGTTACTTTTTAAACTATTTAACAGACAAAAAAAAAATAGAAAAAAGCTCAGCTATCAAATACTATTTGTAAAAGAACCAGAACGCTATATCCCCTTTCTTAGAAAAATCACCAGCCACTCTGTATCCAGTAAAAACATCTGGATTCCTCTCTAGGTAAATTCGATGCATATTGTTCTTAAGATTCTAGGAGACATGCTAACACTTTGATTTCTATTTTAGCCATAATCAGATTTTATTAAATCTGGTGTTTCACAAACAGAGCAGTTATGGTGTCCATCTTTTTGATGGACATATCCAAGAGCAGTTATGGGTTTAACTGTGGTAACACTCTGCCGACTTTATTCTGATGCCTGGCTATCCTCTGCTGGGCTAATTGAAAAGCCTTCCTTGCAGTGTGACTTAAACTGTACCTTTCCTCGTGAGGCACCCTAATCATCTTGTGCAGAGTTGAATCACAGAAGTCCTCTTAGGCTTGTCCCCCAGTGTGCTGACCATGCCACTGATGCCCGCCTTCTAGTTCTCTGGGGCTCCCCACCTCCCCGTCCTGCTGGACCAGAAGTCTGATCTCCCTCAGACAATGCTGAATCAGTTCAACTCTAGGAGGGCTCGGCTATAAAGGCTCAGCACACAGAGAACAACCCCCCAAAGGAACCAAACCCCCAAATCTATTCTTCTCTGTGCAAAAGTTCACAGAGAAAGTTCATAAGGTCAGATAAGCCCTCTTTTATCGATGCAAGAGAGGTATGTAAAGTGGTTACACAACCCACCCCCAGCTAACAGTTATTTACACTGGACTTGGTGGTAAAAGGATTTTAAACAAAAGTACAAGAGGTAGGATTGACGGGGGTGCAAGTGAAAACATCAAAATAAATTACTAAATTAAAATAGAAAATTGCAACTAATCTTAATCTACTAAGAAACTTATTTCATGCAAATGCTTACCCTAAGCAGTTGCTCTAAATGTCTCTGATGAGCTAAACAACTTCCTAGCTTGGACTCATTCCCCAGTCTTAGGGTATGCCTACACCACAACATTATTTCAAAATAATGTCAAGATAGAGGACTTCTTCCTCCGACTCCTGTAATCCTCACTGTACGAGGAATAAGGGAAGTTGGAGGAAGAGTGCTGTATTTCGAAATAAGTACTGTTTAGACACTCCCAATTTTGAAATAATTACACAACTGACATAGCTCAATTTGTGTAGCTTATTTCGAGTTAAGCCCTGCTATGTAGATGCACACTTAGATGTTCTAGCAGACAACGTAGGTAGTAAGAGGGGGGTGGTTCGGTGTTGCCGTGGTGCTTCATTCAATTGGGCTGTGTCTAGATTGGCATGATTTTCTGCAAATGCTTTTAACGGAAAAGTTTTCTGTTAAAAGCATTTTCGGAAGAGAGCGTCTAGATTGGCACGGACGCTTTTCCGTAAAAGCACTTTTTGTGGAAAATCGTCTGTGCCAATCTAGACGCGCTTTTCCGCAAAAAGCCTCAATCGCCATTTTCGCGATCGGGGCTTTTTTGCGGAAAAGGGACTTTTTCCCCGAACGGGAGTAGCATAGTATTTCCGCAAAAAGCACTGATTTCTTACAGTAGGAAGTCAGTGCTTTTGCGGAAATTCAAGCGGCCAGTGTAGACAGCTGGCAAGTTTTTCCGGAAAAACTGGCCAGTCTAGACACAACCCTGGTGTCTGGAAACTGCCCCCATTGTTTGTTTTCCCCTCTTATGTTCCCAACACAGGAATTCTTTGTGTTCAGTTCAAACTTTCCTCAACTCAAGTGGAAAAATAAAAAGTACAAAATGGGTTTTGGCATCAGATGATCTAGCCACATGTATTTCTGAGACCAACCACAGTTTGGGCTTATATGACAAGACTATTCACAGGTGTTGATTTGAGTATGGAGTTAAGTTTCTGGAGCAACGGTAATGGCCCTTATTAGTACATTTAGAACTATAAACAGATGCACACCACATATTTCTAACTTTACACCCAAGAATGATACATGCACAAAAATAGGATTTACAGATTCAGTGGATTACAATATTTAAATTGACATCACATGATCTATTTTGCATAAAGCATCTTTGAGCTATGCATTCTAATACTCATAAGCCATTTTTCATAAAGCGTATGGGGAGCATGACCCATCTGTCTACTAGAATGCCCAAGCCGACTTCCAAGTTTACACAATAAGCTTAGTCTCTTGGATACCCTTTGTGAGGCCATGTAGGCTCAACAGATAAGAAAACCTTCCAGAGAATCAGTAAAATTGGGTAACCAGTGAGGGTTACGGTCTTTGGTCTATTGCTTCTCTGTGCCTCAGCTTACAGGAAGAGAAACTGAAGATACTTACTTGATACGTAAAACCCTTGGAGAGCTGTGGATGAAATAGACTATACACATGCCTGGGTCTCATGCAGCCTGCAGCTAATGCATGGGATGTCATTATCAAGTGTGTTCCCTGCACAAACACCATTTATAAAGCTCCATTTATAAACCTTCCACTCTTTGAAACATGCTGAAGTGAGGAAATGCCAAAGTTACAGTTGAATAAACAACCTTAACACTACTTCTGTGCATGTGTGCAGCACTATACAGCCCTCAGTTATTTGTTCAAACTTTTACTAAAAGTATATTACATTATTTTTTCAGATGGTTTTGGACACACACACACACACACACACAAGACTATAGAATCCAAAAGTCGCACATGTAATTTGTGAAAACAGTTTATACCTAAGATGTACAGTAAATAAGGCCTTCACTCCCTCTTTTCCTCTTACAAAGTTGTAAAAATATTTTGCATTTCAGTATTTAAGAATGTTTTTAACAACACAACTACATACATTGTAATGCAAGCACTTGTGCAATATTATTTTTGCCTTTGTGAATTTAAATTTAGAAATTTATGGTATTTTTTTAAGCTTTTAAAATTAAATATATTCTGTAGGACAAGCATGTTTCACTGAATTATGCACTTTACTAAATTAACAACTTTATACATGGAACAAATGAAGTTTTAACACTGAGGAATTTTAAGGGGCTCTGTGCATGAAATTGTATATTACAACCATCCTGCTTCATACTACTGGCAGGCCCTAAGGCATAATGTCTGGTGAAGTTTAGTCACAGCAGCACACCTTTTCTTTCCTTAGGAAACTAGTTAAAAAGAGCCTAAAATCATACCTATCAATGTTTAAACATAAGGTGAGATTCTTTTTAAAAAATGAATTGTTTACCTTTGGGGTGAAGACCAAACTTGTAAAATTTCAGTTCAGGTTTTAAAGCTTGGACAACATATGAATGAATTATTTCAGCACGGGAATGATTATTCTTTAGAATAATTCAGGGCTTGTCTATGATTACCACAGGATCGATGCACCAGAGGTTGATCTTCGAGCATTTGACTTAGAGCGTCTAGTAAGTACCTGTTAAATCAAATGCTAAAGGCATCCCCATTGACTCCTGTACTCCTCGCACTCACGAGGAGTAAGGGAAGTCGACAGGAGAGTTTCTCTCATCGACCTCCCATTGTGGGGATGCTGGAGAAATTTGTCTTGAAGTGTGTCAACTCCAGCTACATCATTCTCGTAGCTGGAGTTGCATATCTTAAGCAAACCTCCTCCGTTAGTGCAGACCTGGACTCAGTTAACTTTCCATCCAATGTGAGAAGTTACGAAAGAGGTGGTGGATTATGAACGTAATTTGTTTTCCGTCACGTGTCCTATTGTGTTAATTCTGTGATGTATTAAGTTTCCATTTCTGAAAAATCACATGTGAGCTTTACATAGAATCCCAAATTACAGAATGGCCAGGAGGGAAGTAAATTGGTCATAAATATGTGTTAAGATCAAATTATTTCTCTAAAAATGCAGGAAGAAAATTTGATATCTTCAGGGAAGAGATTCTACAGAGAAAGTTTACTGAGAGACGCCTCAAAGCCAGATTGTTCAATGGGATTAAGTAAGGACAACACAGTTATACTCTGTTGTCCTTAAAAGTCCTAGAATTGTTTTGGGCTAGTGCACAGGACTGAGTTAGGACTATTTCACAATATCTTCCCAATCATAATGACTTTATTCAGATTCCATTCCCATAAGAACCACGCTGAACATTTACAAGAGCTGCTTTTTTGTTTACAAACTCGAGGTCAATGTCTGACCTGAATTAGGTATTTACCTTCATCTCTCCAATTAGAATCAATAGGAGTATTTCATATGATCTCCCATGCAATGATACAAAAATGTAAACTGCATCTACTCCATATGAATAACAATTGAAATAAGACTGTGATTTATTAGAAATGAAAACTCACTTTACAAAGTCAGCTGAATTACTGATAGAACTGATAATTCCAATCCACTGGTAGTATTTGAATTAAAAGATTTTTTAAACTCTTTACATTTAACTTCATATATCTTATGGCACAGATATTGACTACAAAGTTACTCAGTAAGTGAACTGCTATTCAAACAAACTATAATCTCCCTTTAAAATTCATAATGGTGGTAATAAAAGCCAGTTGATATTTTTCAAAATTCAAAAATGAAAAAGGGAAATAAAGAAAATTTTTGCAAAGATGGCATCTCATTTCTGGTCAGTAATTATGTTTTATTTGTTTCTATTGCCATAGCCTCTTGGACCCAAATTCATGGAGTAGAACCCGTGGATGAGGCACTGTATGAACAAAATGAAAAGACAATTCATGCCCTAGCAAGCTGATGGCAAATGCTTTTCCAGCTACTTTATGGCATCTCTTTTGGGGAAGGGTAAAACTGGTTTGGCATGTATGGTACATACAAAATAATTACTAAAAACTTCTATCTAAAAATCTGATACAAAATATTGCTCATTTTACTAATTTAAAGACATGTTAAGCAAGTCAGAAAGTGACTGCCTTGCAACTTCCAGTAAGTGATGGATATTTCATCACAGTGGGCAGTAGTTAAATGCTGTAATTGAATGGACAAGGCAGGCATTGACCAAATCAAAGTAGGAAGTCTCTAGAGGAATTCCCAGCAGAAGCAATGTCTATTTGCAGTCAACAAGCAAAAAGTTGCTCAATTTGAAGTTAGCAGGTTTATGTAAATTATTTCCTGTTTGCTCTCTAAGATAAAGCCTCCAATAAATACTGGACCATTTTTCCTTTTGAGAATCCATCAGAACTCTGCATTTCAGGGACTATGCAGTACAGCAGTGGTAAGTTTGGTTGTAAGAGGAAATTTCATATTTGTACCACTTTGCCTTGTTTTAATTCTGTTTCTGTCTTCGAACAAGAGCTGTTTATGGTGTAAAACTGTTAAGCGGAAATTCAAACTTCTAGATTTATGTGTTGTCTCCCTGCCTGGTGCTGTGATTGCAGAGGGGATTTAATTTTTTCTGTGTAAAAACGATCACTTTGGTAATGCTTCAGAATTGCGTGTGATCCTTTTGATACATGTAGCTGTTCCACAGTATTTATAAGAGCAATGAGCATTATGGCTGGAGTCTTTAAAATATGGCCTGGTTTTCTGACACCTACTTTTCCTATATTACAGCCTAAATAAGTGAAGAATGAAGTTCTGCAACTGCATGCTGTTACTGTCTCTGGTACTGTGTGTCAGTGCCCAGAACTGGTTCACTAATGCTGGAGCATTCATAAGGGATGCTTATCGAGGTATGCTTTTACTAACTGTATGTTCTTCTTCAGAAGTGTCCTCAAAACTTATGTGCAGCAGGATGATGCAGTTCTCTTTCATATCCTCCTCCAAAGATGTCATGTGTTGCAATCTACAGTTAATAAAATAACATACATGGCTGCAAATCCCTGTATTTGTAATAGGAGTCGTGTGTGCCAAGGAAAGCTGGGGAAAATTTTTGGGGAGGGGATACCAAATTCATTAAAAAATATAATTTGCAAAAAGTTTTAGTAGTGCCCATAAATTTAGGTGAAATTTGGCAAATCGTTTTTGTTGAAAAAACACGTCACAACTAATAATTTTCACAATGAACAATTCTTACATTTTGCTGCAGAAATGTCTATTCAAGTCAACCTGAACATTTTTTATGTTTTTCATTTTGATGCGGGAAACCCTAACAATTCTGCATTGGTTTGAAACTAAACCATCTTTTGGGGACTTCTCAGATCTTCCACTGAACCAAAAACTCTAGTGTTTGCTCAGGGGTATAGAGGAGACTTTCTGGCTTCTCTGGAATCACTGTACTTGAAGTTATCATTATGAAGTGACTAGAATGGTGCTTAGCTACCTCAGAGGCAGGTGCATGGAATAACCTCACAGATTTTATACTTACAGTCCCCTGTAATCCTCTCTCTCTTGTCCAGGTGCCGGGGATATGTGGCGTGCTTACGATGACATGCGGGAGGCAAACTATAAAAATGCAGACAAATATTTCCATGCTCGTGGGAATTATGATGCTGCCCAAAGAGGACCTGGTGGTGCATGGGCAGCAAAAGTTATAAGGTAATTGATTCTACTTGGATTATGAGTTAAAAGTCAGTAGAGACCTGTGTAATCCAAGACCTATGAAGTACACTGCAATTCATAAATAGTTGTTATCCTGTTTGAAGCAACTACCTTTTTATTTAGCATCTGAATTGGGTAAATATGAAGACAGTTTCTGAGCTGACCAACTGTTATATAGATCACTTCACTGTGTATAGGGAGGCCCATGTTTACACCACAGGGCTTTTAAAATTTAAAAAGCTGCAAAACCTCTCTTTCAGAACCAGTATTTGTTGCCCTTGCTATTTCATGCACGGACACAATGATCATAAGGTCATTTAATGAGGATTGTTTGTGAATGTTGCTGTTGAACATGATGGTGATGATACAAAGGTGCTTATGACGGGTGGGTAAAACTTAATGGAGGCAAGTAATGGGAAGGCTTTTGAACTACTGCACTTCTGGTATGACCTCTGCTATTCAGAGACAGGTTAAGGTAGAGGTGTGTGTATGAGAGAGAGTGAGTGAGAAGGAATATGAGCTAATATCTTTTGGTGGTGTTTTTGTGTGTCCTCAGTTTTATAGAAATGTAGGGATTAAACTGGTGGTGAGGAAGAAAAGTAAATAATTTAGTTATTGTGATTTAATTAAAAACTGTCTAAGATAATCTTTTTTCCTCTTTCCAGTGATGCCAGGGAAGGTTGGCAGGGTGGCATTAGTGGCAGAGGAGCAGAAGACACCCGTCAAGACCAGGAGGCAAATGCCTGGGGTAGAAATGGAGGAGACCCAAACCGCTACAGACCAAAGGGCCTTCCTTCGAAATACTAATGCAGCCCATAATAGTTAACAGTAGTTCTATTGTACCAACTGTGCAAAGAACCCACAATAAATAAAATCTTAAAATTCTGACGCGCTCGGTTACATGAGAAGAGATAATAAAACAATATACGACATTATCTTGGTGAGTCAGAGGAAAAGGAAACCCTTAATTGCACCAGGTGTGGAAGAAAATTCCAGATTATTTAATTCTTATCCATAACTTGATTTCTTGCCTTTTCCTTTGAAGCAGTGGGTACTGGCCAGTATTTTTCATGGGGTTGGGAACCCGGTTTCATTTTAATGAGCAGTAATAATGTTTGTGTTTTAAACATATAGGCTATGTCTACACTGGCCCCTTTTTCGAAAGGGGCATGCTAATTTTCCTTCGAAGTAGGAATAAGAGATCCTCCGGAATAGGGCTTTATTCCGGAGGATCGGGCCAGTCTAGACGCTTTTTTCCGGCTTTGTTTGGGGAAAAGCCGAAAAAAAGCGTCTAGACTGGCCCGATCCTCCGGAATAAAGCCCTATTCCGGAGGATCTCTTATTCCTACTTCGAAGGAAAATTAGCATGCCCCTTTCGAAAAAGGGGCCAGTGTAGACGTAGCCATATTGTCGTCAGATAGGTATAATCTCTGTTCCATCAGAGGTCAGGCTAGAAAGGCTGGATTATAGGCATAGCTCCCATTGTGTGAGAGCAAGAGTGAGTGAAAATAGCTAGTGACAGGCAGGGCAGAACTAAGTACAGGACTAGTTGATGTACATCAATAAAAACTTGGAAGCGTAGGAGGATTCAAAAGGATCAATGCTCATAACTTGAAATTAAAAAGAAAGAAAAGGAAAGGAGAAACAACACCATATCAAAATGAATATGCGGTTTGTGGGTATGAACAGAAGTAATAGGGGAGGGATAAAGTAAAATGTTTGGGGACCACTGATCTAAGATATGGGCCTCAACACAGATTCGCTTAGATTTCCTCCAGCTTTATTTCTCTGTCGTTTTTGGTACTTGTGTGAAGCTGAGGGTCTGTGTTTGCTGTCTACTTCATAGGTGATCAAACCCACTCCACTTGAAACCTTTGGAACTCTGCAATTTGAACTCACAGAGATTCTCCCAGCACATGTCCCATTCTTCCCTTTAGTAATAGTTTAAAATGTTCTGTTTCACAACTGTTTTCCACTTCTGTTTGGCTACGTCTACACTGGCATTATTTTCCGGAAATGCTTTTAACGGAAAAGTTTTCCGTTAAATGCATTTTTGGAAAATCACGTCTAGATTTTTGCAGAAAAGCGTCCTGCCAATCTAGATGAACTTTTCTGCAAAATAACCCCGATCGCCATTTTCACGATCGGGGTTTTTTTGCGGAAAACAAATCTCTGCTGTCTACACTAGCCCTTTTGCGCAAAAGTGTTTCGGAAAAAGACTTTTGCCTGAACGGGAGCAGCATAGTATTTCCGCAACACAACACAAAATTTCAAAATAAAGCCCTATTCCAAAAATCTCTTAACCCTTGTGGAAGGATGGTTACAGGGATGCTGGAATAGCATGGAATAACATCAGTAGGTTAATTACTTTAACTGATCTGTTCTTTCCTACACCTCAAAAAATTAGGTGGGTTGGAGTGGGTGTCTGGATGTGGCCGGGCTGAGGGGGTGCTGTGGGGTGGCTGAGGAGTTGTCTGTAGGTGACCTCAAGGGGCGCTGTCAGGCGGCAGAGGCGTTGTGTGTCTGGGGGGGGCTGCAGGGAGCGCTGTGGGGTACCGGAGGTGCTGTGTGTCTGTGGAGGAGCGCTGTGGGGAAGCAGAGGTGCTGTGTGCCTGTGTGTGTGTGTGTGTGGGAGGAGGGGGCCTGCAAGGAACGCTAGAGGCTGTAGGGGGCGCTGTGGGGCGGCGGAGGCGCAGTGTGTCGGGGGCCTGCAAGGAACGCTAGAGGCTGTAGGGGGCGCTGTGGGGCGGCGGAGGCGCAGTGTGTCGAGGGCCTGCAAGGAACGCTAGAGGCTGTAGGGGGCGCTGTGGGGCGGCGGAGGCGCAGTGTGTCGAGGGCCTGCAAGGAACGCTAGAGGCTGTAGGGGGCGCTGTGGGGCGGCGGAGGCGCAGTGTGTCGAGGGCCTGCAAGGAACGCTAGAGGCTGTAGGGGGCGCTGTGGGGCGGCGGAGGCGCAGTGTGTCGAGGGCCTGCAAGGAACGCTAGAGGCTGTAGGGGGCGCTGTGGGGCGGCGGAGGCGCAGTGTGTCGAGGGCCTGCAAGGAACGCTAGAGGCTGTAGGGGGCGCTGTGGGGCGGCGGAGGCGCAGTGTGTCGAGGGCCTGCAAGGAACGCTAGAGGCTGTAGGGGGCGCTGTGGGGCGGCGGAGGCGCAGTGTGTCGAGGGCCTGCAAGGAACGCTAGAGGCTGTAGGGGGCGCTGTGGGGCGGCGGAGGCGCAGTGTGTCGAGGGCCTGCAAGGAACGCTAGAGGCTGTAGGGGGCGCTGTGGGGCGGCGGAGGCGCAGTGTGTCGAGGGCCTGCAAGGAACGCTAGAGGCTGTAGGGGGCGCTGTGGGGCGGCGGAGGCGCAGTGTGTCGAGGGCCTGCAAGGAACGCTAGAGGCTGTAGGGGGCGCTGTGGGGCGGCGGAGGCGCAGTGTGTCGGGGGCCTGCAAGGAACGCTAGAGGCTGTAGGGGGCGCTGTGGGGCGGCGGAGGCGCAGTGTGTCGAGGGCCTGCAAGGAACGCTAGAGGCTGTAGGGGGCGCTGTGGGGCGGCGGAGGCGCAGTGTGTCGAGGGCCTGCAAGGAACGCTAGAGGCTGTAGGGGGCGCTGTGGGGCGGCGGAGGCGCAGTGTGTCGAGGGCCTGCAAGGAACGCTAGAGGCTGTAGGGGGCGCTGTGGGGCGGCGGAGGCGCAGTGTGTCGGGGGCCTGCAAGGAACGCTAGAGGCTGTAGGGGGCGCTGTGGGGCGGCGGAGGCGCAGTGTGTCGAGGGCCTGCAAGGAACGCTAGAGGCTGTAGGGGGCGCTGTGGGGCGGCGGAGGCGCAGTGTGTCGAGGGCCTGCAAGGAACGCTAGAGGCTGTAGGGGGCGCTGTGGGGCGGCGGAGGCGCAGTGTGTCGAGGGCCTGCAAGGAACGCTAGAGGCTGTAGGGGGCGCTGTCCTGTAAGAATTTGTCAGTTACTGTCCCTGCTGGGGATAAGTCCCACCCATCGGCCTGGGGACTCTCTTAGGTACTGAGCTCCTGCTGTGGGAAGCACAGGGCCTGCGGGGTGGGCAGTGGGTGTGGTAACATGGAGAGAAAATGACCTCCGTGCGTGGCCAGGATTTTACCTGTTCCCTGTTATAAGGGAGGCTGAAGAGCCATTTAAACTAAAGGACAATGTTGGGGCTAGAATAAGCAGGTGTAAACAGTCCATGATCAAATGCAGGCTGGAAAGGAGAAGAATGTTTCTAGTCATCAGAGGGGTAGGAACAGCCTCCCTAGGAGTTGTGAGGTTTGGGCACCAACTCAGTGTTAGGAGAATGCTGGGTAAATGTCTGGGTGTCAGTGTCTGACAGGGTTGATTGTGATGGGGGGGGGGTGTATTCTGGGAGCGATTTTCTTTTTTAATTGCCTTCCTCTGAAGGGATAGCTGGGGCTAGAGATAGAAATGTGCATATAGGAGAAGCCAGGACTCTTAGGTGGCATCAAACCAGTGCTTTCTTGTTACCAAAAAAAAAAAAAAAAGTGCCGGTACTCCAGAGGAAAAGTTGTTGAGCTCCGACTGGAGGTGCCAATATGGTGTCTGGAGGTGCCCATACTGCATCCTGGGCAGTATCATCACAAAAAAGCACTGCACCAAACATTCTCTCTCTCAGGTGCTTGACTGGCGGGTTCCTGCTCACACGCTCAGGCTATGTCTATACTGCAAGCCTCTTATGTAAGAGCAAATGCAAATGGAGTGCTCAAAAAAATGAGGAAGAACAGCTCTTGCGCAAAAGGGGGTTTTTATGCAAAAAGGCGCCATCTCCACAGCGCTTTTTTTGCGCAAAAGGGAAAGGAAGAGGAAATGCAAATGAGTGCTCCATTTACATTTGCTTTTCTGCAAGACGCTTGCAGTATAAACATAGACACAGGATCTAATCAATTGCTGTATGTGGGGTCAGGTAGGAGTATCCCCCCCCCCCCCGGTTTAAATTGGCAATGGCTTTGGGAGATTTTTGCCTTCCTCAGCAGCGTGTGGGTTACTTGCCTGGATTATAGTGCATAATCTCACATAATGGATTATATCCCTCCCATGGTAGGGGAGGAGGGGGAGGCAGGGAAAAGGGGTGTATATCTCAGGCACTGATGCACCTCAGTGTTTCCTATTCTCCGTTTCACATAATAGTCCAGTCTCTTGTGGACTGTACAATTTTTGTCTCATTTTGGTTGTTGGGGGTTACTGTCCAGGTGTTGGGTGACGCGGGTGTACTATGAGACATGGGAGGTCAGACTAGATGATCTGTCTGTCTCTTCTGACCTGAAACTCTGTGACTGATTTGTTCTCACTACAGCTTTAGTCCTTTGTAGCTCACCAGACATGTCTAATATCATTCTATGATGAAATAACTTTAATATGGCTAGGTCAGTACACACAATTGTGTAATATCTCTGAAAAGGAAGCAATACTAGGAACTTTTCAAGAGAGGCTCTCACATCCTCTAACAAATGTTAATTAAACTTCTTGGCAATCTCTCAGATAGGTACAGTAAGTGTTTTTGTCCCTGGTTTTTAGATGGGGAAATTGTGGTGCAACCTGCATATCATTCAAGGAAAGTATTTTCTGCCTAAGAAGATTCATTTAGAAAATGCTTAAAAATGAGCAGTACAGTTTTGGAAGATCTAAATAGAGTAGGTTGCAGGTGACATCTACCTTTGGATAACTAAAACAATAGATTGTCTTGAAAAATTAATTATTTCTTCACTGTCTCTTATTATTGCACCATTTCTTTTACTTCATTTGATAGGTCATTAGCCCTGAAAAGAATGACTCCAACTTGAACAGTGAAGAAGTGAAGACAGAACTAGATGAAGAAATGGAGAATGACGTTTGTAAAATGTGGGACATGTCAATGGACGAGGTATGTTGGTGAGCAGCCTTTAACAATGTGCAGAATACAATTTTAAAACTGAGAAATTTCCCTGCAGTGGAAATTTAATTTCCTCAAAGAAGAGTATAGATAGCATTAGTTAGTAGACGACCTAGAAACAAACATTCTCTGCTATTTTCCCAACTTGAACGGTTTTGCTCCTTTATTTTAGCTGGCATTTATCTGGTGAGGGTCCCCTAAACTGAGTGTGCCTGAAAAGTTGACAAAAAAGATGTTTCAACCCCATCTACCTGTCACGAGGCTTTTTCAGGTATCAGGCTGTGAATAGCAAGCTTTTTTTCAGGCACTCTAAAGCAAACACTCTGAGGGAAGACCATCAGTTGGACACAGGCAGATGGGTCCCAGGAAGAGAAGGGGTTGAAGTTGCATGAGTGCTAAAATTCAGTATTTGCTGCAGTCAAAATAGTACAAGTATATGCACTGACCTGTGTGTGCAAGAAAGAAACCAATGGATTTTATTATGATGTACAGAAAGCAATGCAAGAAGTTTGAAGACAAGATATGTTATAATGTTGGGAATCTTTCATGTGAAAGTGGGATTGAACTGGATTTCTGGACTGGAGCAATAGGCAGATTCAAACTCAGTGAAGAAAGCAAAAGAGGGAGAGAGGCTACTAAATTTCTGCCTCTGTAACAACTGGGTGAGAATTAACATACTTTTCCAACAAAGAAAGCTGATGAAGGAATGGAATTGGTTAACATTTGATGGGCAAAGGAAGAATACAGTAGGCTTTGTACTTGTGAAGTACAGGTGGGAATCAGTTGTGTTGTCATGCAGATCACTTGTGGCAGATATTGGATCAATTCATATATTAGTGTTGGCATTGGGGTTAAGAACTGAAAACATGCTAGGAACTAAAATCTCTGACAAATTAAGGAGCAATGTTTGAAGAAAACACAAACTGCAGAAAAACGTCACATTTCTCGTAAAAAAAAATAAAAGTAGTAAACATTGAAATGACATAGAACATTGGGTTTAAAAAAAGAGCAATAGTAAAAAATGAGAAACAAGTAGTATTGAAAGATAAGAGAACTGTACAGGACATATGAGTTGAAGATATCAATAGTGAAAGACAAGCGGAACAAACAATTGAGGATGAAAACAAAGCATAAAGGAGGAAGAGACTATTTTGAAGAGCAGTACAGAGCTCAGACTATAGTATATAAAATGGTCCTTGAAAAGTTTTTCTGTACAGATGAAGGAGAATGGAAGCAAGATTTCTGAGAAGCAAAGATTTCACTAAAAAGTCTGAAAAATGAAAAAGTGCTGGAAAGTGGTAAAACATCTTCAGAGCAGTTAAAAGTAGATGAGGAACAGATGTTAAAAGCAATGTACAACTATTTGACAGAGAGAAGAATGAGTGTAAAAACTATAAAGGAATCAGTTTACTGAGTGTGTACAGAAAAGCACTTATCAGGGCCTTGGAGAGGAGAATGAAATGGTACATAAAGCAGGCCAGATTTAAACCAGGAATGGAATATTAAGTCAGCTATTTGTGATGAGACAGATATCAGAGAAACGGAACACAACCAAATTTGTTATAACAACTTTAGAGACTTAAAACAGTCTTTTGATAGCATTTAGCAGAAGTTGATGGAAAAATTCAGGATAACCGTAGGCATGAGACAAGTATGGGTACTTCAGTTGATTTGGTCAACTTGGTACTGGAAGCAATATGGATTAGCACTGAGAGATAAGATGACTCATTTCATGTGGGAGGATTAAATTCTGGGAGAGGATATTGATTTCATAGCATTGTCAGGTAAACTCGGAAATCAGGAAATTTGCTTTGAATATCAGCATGAGGAAGGCAAAGCTATAACAACTGGAAGTTGAGAGAAAAGGTCAAGCTCAAAGGTATATACAATCATGTGTGTCTCTTTTTCTTTTGTCAATGATTGTAATTGACAAGTCTGCAAGGGTTAGTAGATAACTCATATGTCCTAGAGAATTTGACAAATGTTTGACCTAGCCTGATTCCACAAGAGAAACATTTGATTTATATGTGGAAATTATATTTTAAAAAGGAAATAGATGCCTAATTAACACATTTTCTCCACAGGATGTTGCATTATTTCTCCAAGAATTTAATGCCCCTGATATATTTATGGGAGTGTTTGCCAAATCTAAGTGTCCTCGACTTATTGTAAGTATAGGTTAATGTAAAGTGCTGTCTGTTTAATAGTAGTAACCGTCCTGAGTATACAATTGCAAAATATCCTCCTCTTTTCCCTTTCTCCTTCCTTTGTTTTTTATTTGTATCCGATTTGAATGGTAAGATAGAGGAGGGTAGCTTATAAAATATACTACATCCGGTACTTTCAGTTTTCTTTCTGCTTATTGGTCTATGATCAGTGCTTAGAAAATGTTACAGATATTGAATGTAGGTATTTGTTCTGGTCTTTCAAAGTGCTATTGGTCTTAATGGATTATCAGATATCAATACAAAATTCTATCATTCTTGTCCCTGCCACCGCTTTTCAGATTCCATGTGATTTTAGTAGTCTGTTACCACATAATTCAACTACAGATAGTAATTACGATTAGGAATTCCAAAAGTGCTCAGTGTTGTCTTCACTCCCACTGAAGAGTTAAAACTAATACTAATACTTTTGAAAATCTCATTCTTTAAGCTGGATTCAAAATTCTTTGATCATATACTGCCATGAGATTGGCTTCTCTCCTTAGTAAATTAACACATACTGCCATGAGATTGGCTTCTCTCCTTAGTAAATTGACAAAGTAACTACTAAAACTGAGGTGTAATTTAAAGGTATTTTTAAAAGACTAGAGTAAAAAATGACTCTCTCTCAACCTTTTGATCTGCCAGGGCTAGAATCCAAGCTTTACATTTCTGGAGATTTGAGATTTCCAGGTTTCTGGTGACATTTGTTATTCGAACTGGTTATTCACAAGATACTTTGGAGCCCTTGATCTCTGTGTGGAGCAGTACATACTTTTGGTCATAGTCCAGGAGTGAATATAGTCTTTTGGTGGTATCTATTGCATTTTGTTTTTAAAAAAATACTACAGTCAGAAATTGAGGTTTTTTGCGTGCTTAATGAAGATCCTTTCTTTTGTCAGGAGGGGAATGTGTCACGGGATTCCATTTGTGTGCTGAGTTCTTTGCACACTTATACTATTTTTAAGGTGTGGAATTCAGCTAAGCTCCAAATAGATTTGCACAACATACCATATATGCTTGTTCATAAGATGACTTATTTTTGGGAGAAAAAAATCCCACTGTGAAGAGTGGGGGTCGATTTATGAACGGGTTTCTTCCACATCTTGGGAAGCATCGTGGGCTGAAGGACTTGCTGGCTGCCAGCCTGGAGCCTCTCAGATGAGTTGAGCTCAGGTCCCATTGGCTGCTGTTTGCTGTTTACAGCCAATGGGAGCTGAGGCGCTCTGTGCTGGCAGCCAGCAAGTCCTTCAGCCTGCATTGCATCCTGTGGCTCAGCACAGAGCGAGCTCTGAGGTTTCCTGACTGCAGCCTGCACGTCCCTCAGCCAATGCAGACCCTGACAAGCTAAAATTGGAAGGTCTGTACTCTGGAGTTGGCTTCTAAATGAGTCAGTGACTTTTTACCATTTTTTCTTTGTAAATTTGGGGGGGGTCGGTTTATAAACGAATGGGTTTATATTCAAGTATATGCAGTATGTATTTGTCTGTCTTAACTAACAAAACCAGGGAAGCTTGTTAAAATGTATGTTCATTTTTAAAAAAAAACCTTACTATGATAAGCCTGAGGAATACTTGCCATCTTTTACCCATCTTGTGTAATTAGCCAAGTCATTCCTACATGACATCTCTAAGAACATTCCATCTATGTGGAAAGTTAATTTTTATACTTACTCATGTAGAATAAAAGTGCGAACCAGTTCCTCCACAGTTAGATTGTACACTGAGATCATGGAGAGAAAATTGTCACCAATAATGCGTCCTCTAATCCTACTCTATTTTGATTTTGCAGGAAATCTGTGTAGGAATATTGGGTAATATGGCCTGTTTCCAAGACATATGCATGTCTATTAGTAAAGATGAGAATCTTGGGTAAGTTTGTGCTTTTTCTTTCCATCGCATGTGTATAATTACCAGGGCTCGCCAGCCACGCGATTTTGTGCTCTGCGCCGGCTCTTCTGGGTTGTAATCTACTCGCCATGGATGAGTAGATTACATTATTTGTTGAGCCCTGATAATTACAAAATATGGATTAAACAATAAGACCCTTTTTAGTCTTAGATTTTGGATCAAATAGGTTAGGTTTTAAATTAGGGATGTTACATTTAGATTAACTAATGAAATAGTTGATGGGATTTTCCATCTATAGACTGATTAGTCTATAAGGGCGTCTCCACCTTTGATGTGTAGCAAGAGAATTAGGATTGGTCCTGCCTTGGGCAGAAGGCCAGACTTGATGACCTCCTGAGGTCTTTTCCAGCTCTAGGATTTTATGAAGAGCCATGCCGAGCTCTTGCTACATTTCAAAAATGGAAGCCCCTCAGGAAGTGTGGAGCTAGTCGGGGACTGTCCCTGTGCTCTCTGCCGCGTCTGAGCCTTTGAAATGTTCTAGAGCCCTGCGGTCCCTCAGCCTTTGAAATGTACAAGAGCCCTGGCGGGGTTCTTTTACATTTCAAAAGCAGAATCGCAGCAGAAAGTGGTACTAGCGAAGACTTTCAGTTCCTGCTTGCGCCTCTACCTATTGTGCCTCTACCTCCCCTGCTCCCCCAGATATGGTGTTGGGGGGGAACCAGCTTTTAAACTGACGCCTCCCTGCACCGTCTCCTACTTATGCTTATTGGATAGTTGACTAGTGGCTTACATCCCTGGTTTAAGTATTAAACATTTTATTTTATCATAAATATTTTTGTTCCTATAGTAGTGTTTCTTTTTTTAACAAAAAAGGGAGGGAGCGTCATTTATTGGGCTTGTCTATTTTGAGAAGTGTAGTGGAGCTTAATTAATCCACTGTTCTGTATCTCACATTGGTTATGTTAAGAAGAGGAACAGAGTTTCTCATCTTGTGCCCCACCTTAGTTCAGGCATTTCAGCTGACTAGTTACTGAACGGAGAATAATGTCACTTCGAGAAATTTCAGTGTTTAAATAAAAGCTATGAAAAAGTGAGGAATTGTCAGTTATTGATGAGTCCCCTCCTGTCACTCATCATAAGCACTTGAATATATATTGATAGATGCCCAGGCATGCATTTTTGTCTCCAATTCTTTAAAAAAAAAATCAAACATCTCTGCACAAATTGAGGAGGTTTTTACTTTTATGTTGTGTTAAACTGCTGGCATGAAAAATTGATATGAAACTAAACCTGTTCTAAAATATTTTTCTTTAAGGACAATTTAGTTAAACTTCATATTGTAACTTTTATTTACAGACAGATGTTGTTGCAACATTTATGTGATTCAGACTCTCCTATTCTGCTGGAAACAAGCAGGTAGGGCATCTTGTTAAGAACTGAATTACTGATATTTGATAGTTTTAATACGTTCCAATGTCTGTAAATAAAGTCCTTGAGGGTGAGCTGACTATTTTGATTTCTTTCCCTTGTTAAATTCTCCAGTGCACTTGGATTTCATCACTCATGGGCTTGATTTGTTTCTCCCTTCATAGTACCTGTAACATTAGTGTAAATCCACCGGAGCGCTACTGTAACTAGGATCTGACCCACTGTCTTTTAATTACCTGTAAAGCTAAAATTGCAATTATTATCTAGGTTGTTGTTAACTTGCCTCTCTCAAGCAGAGGTGGCCAATATCTGGGTTGAAAGAATCAAAGAAAACCCATCTGTGTACGACTGTGTGTGTTTTATTATGTCAAGCTCTACAAATGGTAAGTTGCCAAGTAATTTGAGTATTGATGTTGATTCATAAAACACACTGCTGAAATATATTTGAATTGTAAAGACAAATGGTTTTGTTTGGAATGTGTAGAATACATTAAAAATAGTAAATTTTATGAATACAGAATTAACTGTGTCCACTCTCGCAGGTTTTATAGATGTGTCCTAGTTCTAAAGAAAAAGAGAAGAATGAAATCAGCCCTAGATTTACATCTGTGCCAGATAAAATGTCTTTCAGTAAGGCAAAGCACATGATCCTAATTGAAGTACATGTACATAGCCTTTTTATTGTTTTAAAACAAGCCCATGTTTTCAGTTATTTCAGTGTAGTGTATCTCTGTTTAAGGTTTGATATTGAAATATACTCTTTTCAGTTTAGTCCTAACAAGAAAAACACTTTTTGAGAAAAATAAGCAAGTAATAGGCAGCTGTTCTGTTGCTTTTTTATCATTAAAAATATTACACATCTGTAAAAATATATTTTTAATCTTCAGCAAAATAAAAACAGTATAATATTTGTGCAAAAATCCTGAAATTTCAGTTTTTGGGCTTAGAAAAATGTCAGCCCGACCTTATTTTAAGATATAATAATACTTTGCTCTTCTGATGAATTTCTCATATGTTTGATTTAAGTGGGAATGCTGAAAGTGAAGTGCTACTCAGCATAAGTACTTATTCTAAGTTCTGTTTTTGTGTGTTAACATGGGTAAGAATTTTGTATGCTGATCTTTTTCATTCATTAAAATGTGTTCTGTTTTTGTCTGTACAGTTGAATTGCTGATTAAAGTGGGTGAGGTAGTGGACAAGCTTTTTGATTTGGATGAAGAACTAATGTTAAATTGGATTAAAAATGGCTCTTCTCAATCAGTGGGACAGTTTACGGATGATTCTCCAGAAGAACGTCCAGATTTTAAGATTGTACCTTGTGTACTTGAAGCAGCAAAACAAGTCCGGTACATGTGCTTTATTTCTCCTTCAATGTTGGGGACAGGATGACTGTTGATTATGTTCTTACAGCCTAATCCTGAAACTCTTGATTTCAGTAGGGCTACTTTTATAAGTAATAGGATTTGCTTCCCGAGATTTCATATAGAAGACAACGATTCATTATTCTAAAGCAGTGGTTCTCAAATTTTTGTACTAATGACCCCATTCACTGAGCAGCTGCTGGTGTGAAACCTCCTTAAAAATTAAAAACACTTTAAAATATATTTAACACCATTATAAATGCTGGAGGCAAAGCAGGTATGGGGTGGAAGTTGGCAGCTCATGTCCTCCCCCCCCTCCCATGCAGTAACCTCATGATCCCTTGAGTGGGTCCTGACCCACAGTTTGAGGACTCCTGTTCTAAAGTTTCTTGCTGTTTATGGGTCAGTTGGATAATCCTTGGATTCTGGTGTTCATGAAGTAATTTTTGTATTAATAATGAATACATCTGTCTTGTTTTTGTAGCTCAGATAATCCAGAAGGGCTTGATGTTTATATGCATGTCTTGCAACTCCTGACCACAGTGGATGAGGGCATTCAGGCAATTGGTAAGATATTTTGTATATTATGGAGAAAGTTAGATCATGATAGATACTGAAGTTAAAAAAAAATGTTTTTCTCTCCTTGAATTGATTTTTTTTTTCTTTCTCAAGTGCAGTCTCCTGATGGAGGAAAAGAGACTTGGACTTTACTTTATGATCTGGTCTGCCATGAACTGTGCCAGCCAGATGATCCACCAATCATTATTCAAGAGCAGAAGAGCGTATTGGCATCTATCTTGTCTGTACTGTCTGCCATGTTTGCTTCACAGATACAACAAGAATATGTCAAGATGAGAAAAAGCAAGTCTCATTTTTACTTTCTGTACAGTTGATTACTTTAGAATCATGGCAATAGTGGTGTGGGTATTTGATTGATTACTAGAGACTGGTTGAGGACACAGAAATGTTATAGATTCAGAACACCCTAAAGGTAACAGACTGACCCATTTAAAAAAAAAAGGAGTGGCTTGCAAAATTCTTATGTAAAACAGAATAGAAATTTTTAAATTTTCTAAACTTTTGTGAGTATTTGGAGCTGTATTTTCACCTGAGTGTCCTCTATACCAGTTATGGTGGTAAGTAATTGAACTGCAGAAATAATAATTGAAGAACACTGGGTTGCAGTATTTTAAGGGGTAGGGGAGACTTCTGCATTTAATTCATGATTTTTTATCATTTGCATCAACCATTGTGAATATCACCAAAAATGGATGAAAACATAGGCCAGCCTTTAAGATGAAAAGGAGTGACATGGAATGAGAATTGATGTCTTTAGAAGCAGAAAACTGTATGCTATGTTCCTGCTATAAGTCGCCCCGGTATACATCCATTCTGCACTAAAGTTGTTGACGCTTGTAGGAACTGATGCATTATAAGTCTTCCCATTTCCCGCTCTTAAGTTGTGCAAATGGAAGTCAGACATAGGAAAAAAATTCCCCGCTTTAAGTTGTTTTGCTATAAATCCAAGTTTTTTGTTATCTTGGACTTATAGCAAGGATGGCCTGTACTGCTCACTTGGCTGGCAGTTGGGTTTATTATTGTGTAAAGTTTACGTTAGCACTATATTTAATGGTTTAATGAATTAAATGGAATTTGACATCCCTACAGCCTACATGTACAATAATGGGAGAGAGGGTTCAAGGAGTTGAACCTGCACAAGAAAGCACATACCCTTTCAGTAAAACAGGGGAGATTGGTTTGCCTTAGGCATCTTCAGAAAAATGAGAGGTATTGTGCTTGGGATGAGCTATTCCTGGGGAAATTCTCCCATGTTATAGGGCTATGCCTCTAAAGACGCAGTGTAGCCTAAAGAAAGCAGTGGTGTGCAGTTATGAAAATGAACGAGATACCAATTGCATGTAGCAATTCAGTTCTCCTGAACTGTGCTCATCTCCTAACACTTTTGAAAAGATTGACAGTCACATCTACAGATAATACATCATCTTGAAGCAATTAGAATGTACATTTTTACATCCTTCTCAAATCTTCATGTTTTAAAATGGATCTTCTTGTCAGTATCTGGAAAAAATCCAAATCTGTCTTTCAGTTTGTAAAACTGTGGCTTTCTGTTTTTGTATATTAGATACGCCTCTAATTGGTAGCCTGATTCGAATCTTACAAAACATGGAGGATTGTGGGAAGAGATCTTTTGATAACTCAAAGAAATCTGAACCAGAGGAGACTGAGAAGTCGGGAGCAGTTGAGGAAGACTTCCATTTGAAAATCTTGAAGGATATCTGTTGTGAATTGCTTTCCAATTTGCTTCAAGAATTGACTAAGGTAAAGAGGAAATTTTCGGTGGATTTTATGCAGAGCAGGGAAACAGGAAATATTATTCAGGGGGATTCTTTTCCTTTTCTTTGCTCAATCTACATATAATTATGTACCAGAAATTGAGTTGTGTAGGGTTCTGATTAGAGAAGTAACTGGAGGTACAACTGTAACTTATATGGCACAAGATGCAGATCAATATATTTCTGAGGACTTAAATCTATTTTGTCAGATAAATTCATTAATTCACATTCAAAAAGGAATTATCAATGTACATCAAGAAGATAATTTATGTCAGAGAAAGAATACATGTATGTCTTTATTTAAGTGGCAGTTTCTCAGTTCTTGGCTAAGAAAATCTGAAGATATTTTTTATGAGAGCATTTAAGCTACGAGATTGTTTTCCCACACTCCTATTCAGTTTTGTGTACACAGCTACACTCTTACGTCCCTAATGAGGACACGTATATGTAGGGCCCTTCACTTGTTTTTATTCAATTATACCCAGGAATTTATCAGTATTAATTACCACCACAACAAAAATAAGTGAAAATCAGCGCAATAAACTATTAATAATTTCTCTGGGTAAATATTGCAGTTTATTTTGGTGGATGGAAGAATGGGGAGAAAATATTCAGTAGATTAATGCTTTGAATTCCATTCATTAGTGTGGTTTGCTGCACAATTAAAACAGAACTCAAAATGCCACCTCTGAGTTTAAGGAAACAATATATCTCTAATCCCCAAACTAATTTTTCACTTGAATAAAGAGTTTATAATTGTAGATTGACAACTATTATTAAATGTAAATATTTATAGGCTAATTGTGCCACATCATTCGCAGCGTATGCACTCAACTTTATCCTTTTCTTCTGTTTTTTTTAATACTTCCTCAAGTCCTGAAATGTATTGTGGTATAGATTTTTGGGTTTTCCCCCCCCATTTTTTGCATGTCAAATCTTTAAACTATTATCTGCTAACATTTTGAAATGTATACATGGTTGGTATTCAGATGTGCACATACTTCAGAGCTTATGTGCATACCTGTTTTATTGTGTGTATCTTCTAGACTAATGTAGCCTTACTTCAACAATAATATATACGCACGCGCGCGCGCACACACACACAATGTATTATCGTAATATGTATCTCATGCAAAGTATTTTTTTCTTAATAAAACAAGGTTTTTTTTAATATATTTGAATGCTACAAAATCAGAACAAAATGAATAATACTTTTTGTAAAACCCAGGAAGGTGTAGGTGGGTGTGTGTGTGTGTGTGTGGTGTTTTTTTTTAAATCAGTTTAAACTGAAAACAAAAGGGCTTTTGTATATGAAACTATAAATATGACTGAGAGTTTGCATATTCAGAAACTGTTCATGGAATACTAGTTGTGTTGACTTTTTACATTTGTTTTTTAGGAAAACATATTAGAGGGATTGAACCAGGGACATCTAAGTGAACAGAAATGTTCCTGTGCCTTTCAGAATCTTTTACCCCTGTATTTTACTTCAGTGAGTATGTGACAAAATCTTTAGCCTGGGTGAAAATGGTTTGCAGGGCAGTGTATTGCCGGGTTTAGTGAAAGGGTTTAGATGCAATGTCTAATACAACATTAGGAATGTTAAATTTTGATTAATCAACTAATCAAAATAGTTCTTGCTACATTTCAAAGGAGGAAGCACCGCGAGAAGCACAGGGTCAGCGGGGGTCTCAAGCAGTGCCCCACTGGCCCCCATGCTCTCTACTTTTGAAATGTACAAAAGCCCAGGGGAAGAACAGGCTGCTTGCGAAGCACCCTTCCTCTCCCCTCAGGCTACTATTATCAACATCCACAGCCCCCTGAAGCTGGGGTGGGGATAGGGCAGGAAGGGAGTCTGCTTGAGAATGTTGCTGGGCTACTGGTAGGGAGTCACCCAGGTAAGTCTCCCAGTCACAGTCTGTCTCTGGCACCCCAGCCCCCCTTCCTCCCACTGCATCTCCCCAACCCCCACTACCCCACATAACCCATAACCCTCTGCTCCTCTCTTGAACCCATACCCCCTCCGAGACACTGCACTCCAGTCTCGTGCCCCAGGTCACAACTGCTTTTTTACCCAAACTCCCTCCCAGACCCCATATGCCCTACTGCACCCCAACCTACCTTCTGCACTCAACCTCCATCCCGGTCTCCACACCTCCTCCATTAATATCATGGAAGAGTGCGGCCCTTGACCACTTTCCAGAATCTTGTAGTGGCCCTCCATCAAAAACTATTGCCCATCCCTGTGCTTAAGGCTTTAAACCGGCTTCTAATTTTGTCCATTTGGGGGCAGATTATCTTATAACTGCCTAGTGCAGGGTTTCTTGTACCTTCTTCTGACATAGTGCTGTCGGTGACAGGATACTGAAATATACAGACCACTGGTCTGGTCCAGTAAGGCAATTCCTTGTTCCATCTCAGTGCATTTGACAGCTTTTTATTTTATTTATAGGTGGAGAGTTTCCTTGAAGCACTGCGTGAGGCTGATCAGATACTTGCTGGCAGTCTAGAAAAACACTTCCCAAGCCTGAGGCTCCAGGCATAAGAAAGTACATGAAATATTTTCTTCCTATGGAATGAGGATGTGGACTGTTTCTTTACAGTATTTTAGAAATCAGCATATCACTAAACTCAGAAGAATAAGTTTAACTCCCTTACCTCCAGATCGTATTTGAGAAATTTCACAGATATCCCTGGGTAATCTTGGATTAACCTGATCTGGAATGGGGAAGGAAATAAACTCACTTGGAGTCAGTTCTTCATCCTATGGTCTTGTCAGCTTTTGTGAACCGAGGCTTTTGATTTCTAGCTGCTTGTTTAGTACACAAAGCAGAAGTACATATACTTTTGTATTTTAATAACCCATGAGTTTGTGCTTGTCATCTGTTGGAACAGTGAAATGTACTGAATCTTTTAAAATGCTACTGACCTCTCTTAAGTTGCTGTTGGTAAGAGGATTTTCAATAAGACATCTTAAATATCTTCAAGCAAAGCAATTATTTTTTCCGTCACCTCAGAAAAGCAGCTAAATCACACTGATAAAATGGCTTGCTTTGTTTTGGAAGATGTTAGTGACGTGCAAATATTCTAGCAGAAATGTTGCGGCCTATTCTGCTACGATGTCTGTACATCTAATTTCTAAGCTCCTTTCTTTATGGGGCAATCTAGGGATTCTGGCTCCAAAGCCATTTTAAATGGGTTGCATTCAGGGTACTCTGCAACTTCTGCATGTTGTCACATCGTCTGACTCAGAGTTATAGAGTAGATCTGGATTTAATCTCTTGCCTATAAGCAAAACCCTGCTTTTTAGAAATGATCTTTATGCTTCAGTTCAGAAAAATAGTGTGTATCAAACAGTTCTTGTTCTTTATTGATGGATGTTATTACGTTGAATTGTTTTGAATGAAATTAGAAATGGCTTTTTAGGCTGGGATTTTCGAAGAAGCTTAAGGGAGTCCGATATCCCAACTCTCATTGAATTTCAGTTGTCTCAAACTCTTCTCAAAATCTCTCACTCTTCATATTTTTTAATGGCAGTACGATTTTACGTGTTTTAGCTAGGTGCAGCTCATCTTCTGTACTGCATTTGAACATCAAGGATATTGCAACAATATGTTGGCTCATACTATTTTTATGAACTGGAACTGGCAACAAGTACACAAAATTGATTTGAGATATAAAGGAGGATGAAGTAAGTTCATGGATAACAACTCATTAGCATACATACATTCTGCAGCTATAAAGATTTCTTTTGGCTTCTACTTTGCCATGAACGGTGGAGCAGACAAACTTGCTGGAACCCTGGGCAGTGGGTGGAGCCTCAGGTAGAAGGGGCGGGGCTGAGACTAAACTCTCAAAGCAGCCTCAATGCCACTTGAAGCATACTGCGTGGGGGAGCACCAGGTCTTTTTGAATCGCTGAGCCTCGGAGCAGTTGCACCCTTTGCTCCTCCCTGTCAGCGGGCCTGGCCATGAATTACTTCTAGATATGGTAATTATTAAAGATACAGTATATGTGCGCATGCTCAGTCTTTTCATCCCAATTTCTAGTTTTCAGAGGTGGTATTAATTCCATCTTCCCATCAGGTTATTGACAGCATTGCTGTTGTTGGCAACAGGACTTAAAGCCTGAAAAAGCTGATTGAAGTCACCACAAAAATTGCAGTGATTTCCTGGCATTTTTATATGTTGTTGGAAGCAGTTGGTAACCGTGTATGCCTACCGGGTTTTCATACTACTTTGGCAATTTTGAGTGTTTTATTAAAACTACAGGTTTGTAATAAAGTTATTTCTTAAAAACATTTCGGGTTTTTTTTTTTACTGTGTCAAATTTAGCTTCTGAAGAACTGTAATGTATTTGCTACTGTCTTGAATAAAGGTAATTTCTAAAAACAATGGAAACCTGTTTCCTATTGCAAATATCTTGTGAAACTTGTCCTCCTTTGCCGGAAATTTATTTTTAATGCCATTTCTCAAAATATTTTAACTTATTATGTTGTCAGTAAAGCTGACGAGACAAAAGCACAGATAGAATCTAATGCGACATATTAGCATTTTTTTCAGTGGAAGTAGCCTTTGACCTTTTCACTACAGTAGTTTAACTAGGAGGATACCATAGATGTACCTTTATTGGAAAGGTACCATAGGTTTCTTTCAGCCTCCACCATCTTTGCTTGTTGGCATCTCCTGATGTGTAAGTGCTTTACAAACTCTCCTTAAAGTAAGTGTCATAGAAATTTGAAAAACTTAAACAACAAATAGTTTAGCACCTTAAAGACTAAAAAAACATGAAGATGGTATCATGAGCTTTTGTGGGCACAACCCACTTCAGAGCTAATACTCCTGTCATCTGAAGAAGTAAAAGTGTCAAAATTATGTATGGGTCTAAACAAAGACTCTAATTATCTCACCCATTACAAAGATAGCTTCCCCTATTATCACCCCTATGTCATTACCTCACAGACACTAACCTTCCCCCCCCACCCCCACTCTAAATTTGATTTGTCAATTTCACATGCTTCACTTTTTTTTTTCATTGTATCACTTTGTTATATATGGTTGTGCCGATTTTCTTCCACATATTGATCTGAGGAAGTGGGTCTGGCTCACGAAAGCTCATCACCTAGTAAACTATCTTGTTAGTCTTTAAAGTGCTACATAGTTCTGTCTTTTGTTTCAGCTAGACCAGACTAACACGGCTGCATCTCTATCACTATTATGCGTAGGTTGTGTGTCTTTTAAGTGACTGGGTGAGGATGAGAGGATTCAGATCTTTCAGGGATTTTCTTTCTGCCACAGGCTGGGTAATATCTAGTATCACAAGAAATATCATGAACGTCGCATGCTATGGATAAAAAGTGACTGGTTTTAACGTTTTGTTTTTAAACAGAGGAAAACAAATGAGATCTTTTTAGACCTGGGTGACTTTAAATTCAGGAAAGTGTCATATAAAAAACATGAATGGGGCTATCTTAAATCCCTGTAAAATGGTTCAAAAAGATATAGAATGGGTACTTTTTGGCATGTTGTAAGAATGGAAAATGCCCCACTCTATGCATTCTGCCTTTTTGCAACTAAGCCAACCATGGTTAAACGTTTCATCTGCAAAATTTTAAAATTAAAAGTCGAGACTTAAAAGAAATTGGGCTGGTCATAGGATAGATTGTTGTGGGTATAGGGACTCCTCAGCGAACAGCTCTCCCTTCTGAAATTTTTTCCCACTGTTCTGACAGAGTGCTAGAATGTCAACCTTCAGGCCAAGCTTTAAGATTCCAGCTCTTACTTTCCTCGGGCTTTTTCCTGTGCAGGAATGATTATTAGAACAGAATAGTTTATTGGTGGAGTAGAGTCAACTAGTGACATGAGCTAAGTTGCTTGTTTCTTTTTAATCATTAGGGTGAAATCCTAGCCTCATTGAAATCAATGGTAAAAGTCCCATTGACCTCAGCGGGGCCAGGATTTCAACCATAATTTGCTCACACTCATTTGATAGTGACAAAAAGTTGTTACCACCCGTGATGGCCTGTATGAGATTAGCTGAAGTTCCTTGTCCAGCTCCAGGATTTCAGTCAATACAAGGAAACACTATTCTAGTTAAATTAATAGATTTTAAGGCTAGAAGTGTCCAGTAGATCATCTAGTTTTACGTCCTGTATTACAAAAGCCAAAGAATTGCATCGAGCTAACCCTGTATTGAACTAAATTTGTTTGACAAAGGGCTTGTCTACTTGGGGAAATTTCATGGCATTGCTATAATGGAATTATTATTCTCTTATAATTATATCAGTACAAGTCTCTGTATGGACCTCTTGTGGAATAAAGGTAATTTTGTGTCAAAAGTAATTATTGTGCTTGCATTCTGGCCTAAAAATTACTTTATTCTGCAATATTATTCCATACAGAGACTTGTATTGGAAATAATACAAGTCTGTATTGTGCCAGAAAATTTCTCTGATATTCCCTAAATGGAAATGTAGACTAAACTCTCTCCCCATGACCTCGCAGAATCAGCCCTTCATTGCCTTAACGGTGGTGTATTGTCAGGAGAGTATAAGGAAAGTTATTTTTGCTTTGGCTGTTCATCTGTGTCTAGTCTACATATGAGGGATCTTAGTTTGCTGGCTGCTGAGTTGCACTTTTTTAGCTAGGGCTAAATTCTCAAGAAAAGTGTGAAAGGGAGAAGTTGGGATTTTAAAATATCGTCAGTCATGACCTGTTTCTTGGTGATAATCTCTTTCCTGATAATATTTAGAGCAGAGAGAAAGTTTGCTGAAGCTCTGGACTTGGTGCATTTTTTAAAAAAAACTGGTGTAATGGTAAAGACAGTAGAATTACATCTCTGCAGCACTGTGATAAAAAATTTGTGGAACAAAAGTCTGGCAGTGTGCATTTTCCCTGCACACTTGGCAAGTGTATAATATTTTTAGCATTCAGAAATGCTGCAAGTGATGTTTCTACATTAGTTGGTGGCTTATGTGCAGATATTATGCAAGTGCAGTATTCATAATCACCACAAGGGATCTCTCACAGCCTGGATTTTATATCATGCTGCTGTTTAGATTATAATCTTTAGTCTTAGTTTTGGCTCTCATTTCCAGCTTTGTTATCATGCTCATGGCCAAACCAGAGCTATCGACACCATAGTGATTTGGAATGTCTATATCTGTTCGTGCAGGCAGGTAACTTACTCTGAAATGGAATTGTTTACCTTTAGTGGCATCTGACCTTTCCTTCATTAAAAGAAAGCTACATCTCTTTGACTAGGACAGAGTTCTAAAAGAGAAACATATGAAAGTGCTGAAGGAAGATGACAGAATTTTGGTCCCAATGGAACTGCACTTGACATGAATCTTTGTCAGTGCCAAGTTATTACAGTGATGGGAGATTGAGAAATGAAGAGAAAAGGCTTAGTTTAAGCTGGTTCTATACATGCTAGGAATTGTATTTGAGAGCATCAAATTAGATTCATTTATGTTGTAATTTTGTTGATTTATCTGCAAGGGAGTTACAACAGATTAATGTGGCCCATGTTTTTATGTAAAATTGCAATTTCTATACCTCCTGTCATAAAACCTTTGAAACTAGAACTGGAATAGGACTGTTACAACATTTAATCTAGTTCCCTGCCAATGCATGCTTGTACTCTGTCCCAATCTTTGAAGGTGCTTTAGAAGAATACATGTATATGTCCCAACTACCAGGATTTTTACCTTTGTCCTTATGAGGACATTACCCCATACAGCTTAATGTTGGGAGATATTTTTTCCTCTGATATTCAGGCTGAATTTCTGCTTTATCTGTTTCATCTCATTACATTCAAGCTCCACACGAGCTCATCTGAAGAAATGGGTTTTGCCCACTACAGCTCATGATACCCTTAGAGAAAAACAAAATTATATATATAGTATGTCTACACTTGCACCCTATTTTGAAATAGGGATGCAAATGAAGACATTCGAAATTGCAAATGAAGCTGGGATTTAAATATCCTGTGCTTCATTTGCATAATCGTGTTATGGCGCTATTTCGAAATAAAACTCACTGGCTGTGTCTTGACTGGCCACTTTTGTGCAAAAACTTGCCAGCTGTCTACACTGGCCGCTTGATTTTCCGCAAAAGCACTGACGATTTACTGTCCGAAATCAGTGCTTTTTCTGGAAAAGCTTTGACGCTCTCGTTCAGGCAAAAGTCCTTTTTGTGAAAAACTTGTGCAAAAGGGCCAGTGTAGACAGCTAGCTAAGACGGAAAAAAGCGGTTTGAACGCTGGGAGACCCGGTAGGAGCCCCAGACTTCCTGGTAACCCGAGCTCTTAAAGCACACGCAGGCTGCTGAGCGCAAGTGGCAGGAGCATGCCTCAGACCTCTTGCCTGAGGTCTGCCATGGTGCCCCTGCCGTGCCAGCTGCTACATCGCAGCCAACCTACACCGCAGCCAGCATGGCAGCTCCGGGTACTCAGCCACCTGCACCCCCAGCGCAGGAGGCCCCCAGGGGCCGCAAACGACTGGCCCCATCCTGGTCTTCGGAGGAGCTGAACAGCCTGCTCGACCTCTGGCAGGAGGAGGAGGCCCTCCACAAGACCCACTCGCGGCGCCGCAATGCGGACATTTTCATCCACATAGCCCAGGTGCTCGCCCAGCAAGGCCATCCAGCCCAGACCCTCGAACAAGTCTGGGCGAAAGTCAAGGAGCTGCGCCTAGGCTATGTGCGGGCCAGTGAGAGCCACAGGGCAGGAGCAGACACCTGCCCCCATTACGACCAGCTCCACGCCATCCTGGGCCAGCCAGCCACGCAAGCCCCAGAGGTGCCTGTGGACAGCAGCTTGCGCCCCCCTCCCCCATCGCCAGGACCACCGAGGCGGGGGAAGGAGACAGCACTGAATCAGAGAATGAGGCCAGCATTGCCACCCAGCAGGTCCCCTCCAGCAGCCCTGACGTCTCCCGCGCATTGTCCGAGGCTGGAGAAGGATCCACCAGTGAGTCTTGCACTTTGCACTCACAGGGGCGGGGGGCGAGAGGGGGGTGGAGCCAGGCACCCGGAGGGGGAAGGGGGAGAGCATGTCACTCAGGCCACATGAGCTGCACACTGTGTAGCATTAGGCAGCATGCAGCACGTGCAACCACGTGCAGCCTGGTGACCGAGCAGCACATGGCCGCGGCAGGCAGCTGCAGGGCACGCCTGGGACTGCGCTGCTCTCACACATTCAGCGGGACCAGGGGGAAGGGTGGATGCCGGCTGGAACCAGCCAGGGACTCAGCCCAGAGCCCGCACCTCCGCAAGGGTGCAGCACAGAGAACAGCACACC